ACACAACCATATTGGTACAGATGCAGGGATGCCAACGCCTCTGGCACTTTTCCTGTGTTGACGGTTTGCTGCTTTAATGGTATCAAGGGTAATGATGCCTGATACATAGCAAATGCTACATTAGGTAACTGTACTAAAAACATTGACTCAATACATGTAGATGTGTCTGAGCGCTGTGGAGATCTGGAGTGCAAGAAAATGATGTGAAATTTGTGAATTTATTAAGTCAGGGTTTTCATTTCATTCAGCAGTGCTTTAAAAATTGACAACCTGTAATTTTGTTCGTCGGTGGCTGTAAAAAGAGGCGTTATCAAGTAATTGCACACTGATTTTACCTTAAATACTTTACTTCCTCTCAAACATTGGTGGTGGTGAATGTGGGTCAGCCGTCTTGGTGAGACCTGGAGGGAGAGCTCACTTGCTGTTTAGGAAACATTGCATTGCACCATTAGTTTCAATTCATCAGTTGTCACTGCGCATGTAAACTGTGAGCAAACTGACAGAAAGTAACAATAATTCGCACAAATAGGGTGTATATTTATATGTCCTCTGCTGCAGTCCCTCTTTGTGCTTGATGCTACAGGAGCATTTTTGCTGAAAATGACATTTAGCTCTTTCAGATAAAACAGCGTATATTTTTTTTTCCGAGTACATGACATTTTGCCTTTGTTTTTGTGTATGGCGATCCTGTTTTATTAGCTTAGGGTTTCGGTGGAGAATGGAGTGGGCAAAGTGACAGGTCATGCAACAACACCAGTCTCAAGTTACCCTTTACCCAGCATAACTAGTGTGGAAACTCCTCAGTCCACGTGAAAATCATTTTTTGAAGCACTGGGTACTCATACTCCACCGCCCTGATGAAAACACGCCCTGAAGTGCAGGATATGGTCTGGGTTTGGGCATTATGATAAATATTGAATAATTGAACATAATTTTTTCCTCTTCTTTTGGATTTTTTTTTTCTTTCATCAATTCTCATGAATATAGATGGTGATTTGTTTGTGATTACCCTTGTGTATCTGACAGTACAAGGCATGCTTGACTCACTGCGGATTTGGTTTTTATTGATGCTCTCGTGTGAAATATAAGGCGTACATATTGATATTCCATCGAGTAGATGAACATGCTGCTTGTCTACTGTACGGCCCATTAGGCCTAGTCTCCACCAAAATGCCTTGAGGTGCTGCTGTCTGTTTTCAGCTGATTGTAGAGTGAGTGTGCTTCTCTTATTGTCTAAATGCAGCACTTTACACATTGCTGTGAAGTTGATATTTTATTTCCATTTCTGGTGGTTGGAGTTGATCTGTTATCCTCAGCTTGCTTTTCTGAGAGAACACCTGGTGAACTGAGGTTTGTACGCAGCCGTACGTATGTGGGCTAGAGTGTGTGTGTGTGTGTGGTGTGTGTGTGTGTGTGTGTCTGTGTGCTTGTGCACACGTATACATGCTCCCACATCATGGCTCAGTGGCTGACATGTGAGACCAGAGTCTGATTGGATTCCACGCTCCAGAAACATTAAACCCAGTGGCTCACAGACAAAGGTTGAAGTCAGGTGTGTGTGTGTGTGTGTGTGTGTATGTATGTATGTGTCTAGTGTTTTCACATTACTTGTGTTTGGGTGCATATCTGAGCATGTCCACCTGTAAGCGTGTGCCTGTTTACGTGAGTTTAAGTAGAGATTACATATCTTTTCTGTGCGCGTGTGTGTGTGTATACATAGATGCTTGCTATAGAATAGTGCATGCTGGGAGAGAGTTCAATTCTCCTTCAGATCAAGGTCAATGAGCTGTGCCCTATCTCCCTGCTCCATCTATTAGCTGTCCAGTGAAGGGTCTGGGGATGGATGGATAGAAAGCTTTGACCCCGAGTTAAACGCATTCACCTGCGGGTGGGGAAGGTTACTGTCAAGATGTAATCAGTTACAGATTACTGATTACCTATTTAAAATTGTAATTGGTAGAATAATCTATTGGACAGATGTGGTTAATTAACTGTCAAGAGTCTCCCACAACACAATCTGATTCCTTTCAAGTCTCATTTTTTAAAACTTTCCTCTAATAAATCCTACAGAGGGTAGATCTCTGTTATTTGTTGAATCAAACAGGATTTTTGAGACATCCATTATCAATAATGCATAGCATTCATTGTTTTATTTTGAATTTTACTCTAACAAATGGTTACTATTGCTAAGTCTGTTGACTCCCATTGAATCTAGTCTGCTTCCCCTCACATCCGACCATCTATCCTCTCTGCCTTTATCTGCTATTATATCTGCTTGCCTGCTGTTGTGGGGATGGGTCCCTTTAGATTGGAAAGGACATCTCACATCTATCAATGAATTTACCAGCCTACGTGCCTCCCTGAGCACCTGTCTCCCGTCCAATCTCCCCCCTTTTCTCTTTCTGAGGATTGGTTTTGGTCTGAGTTAACTGAAAGGCCGTCTTCACCGCCTGAGTCTTGGTGTGTGTCAGCTTTGACGTAGCCAGGTGACGGGATTAAGGGAACTGAAGTAACATACGAATGACATGCCCCTGTGCTCTGGAAGTTCTCCCTGGAAAGTGGCAAATTCCACTATGTTATACAGTATGTGGTGATGTTTCAGTGCTGACAGAATCGGAGATCTTCCATGAGACCATCGGGAAGTTCTTTTCTTCTCTTTTATTTATGGGAAATATGGACATTAGCACCGACAACACCAGTGATCTGAGATATAAGCTGAACACTCATGCCACTAATTTGTGAAAAGAAATGCAATTTTAACAACATTTTACCAGTAATTGAAGACACAGTGATGTGCCATTTTAAATTTATTAAAGACCCTATTTTGATAAATCTACTTTAAAAACGTCATAGTTAATGAATAATGCCAATGATCAAATGATAATTCTGAAATGCCAAAACATTAAAATTACTATACATACAAAGTGTTCCACAACTATGGTTTAAAAAGCAGTTTCCTATGTATATACTGTGTATATTGCTTCCCCAATTTTCCATATTACTCAGATCAGAAACAAAGGAAGTAACTGAAGATGGGGGAAAACCTAGAAGAGATGCCCCAACCTCATGTTACTCTTACAGGATGTTGTGGGAGGGTGTGTTTAACGCGGCCTTTGTTCCTGTGAATTTCAAACTCAAGCCAAAGTTGTTTTTATCGACAAGACACAAATTTGATGAACCACAAACCACCTGCCTTGTTCCTGTAGTGAAAATGAAGCTACTGCTATAGCTCAGTATTCCAATGGGAACCAGACTAACAAGCTGCTTATCCCGGCCTTGCTGTTGATAGCAAACTGACCAAGCTTTCTGCTTTGATGAAAAACTCTTTAAAGCATAAAAACAAAGGTGTTTAGTCGGAGTAGCAACACATTATTACCCTCTGGGATGATGCAAAATATGTGTATAATTTTCATAAGAAAAATGCCTCTTGTTTGTAGGGAAAGTTTTTTTTTGTTTTCAATTAATCACTTTATTTGCCCAAGTGTTTGTTTGCACAAACACCTTACGTGACCCCCAAACCACCTGAGCTTCTGCCGGGATGCTGCTGATGTTGTTTATGTGCTCATGTTAATTAAATTACTTAGATCTGAGTGGGGATGATTAGCATGCTAGCAGTAATAGCTAGCAGGGAATCCAATAGCCTATTATCATAATGAGTCCCTTTAGCGTTCTGTGTGGGTAGGTAAAAGAGAGAGAGAGAGAAAGAGAGAGAGAAAGAGAGAGAGAGGGGAGAGTGGTTATATCTGTCGCCCAGAGAAGAGAGTTACATCAAAGGACAAGTGTTTTTTTTTTAGCCGAATACATGATTTAAATTGATTTGTCCAACATGGCTAGAATTGGATAATGTCACTGCTGGGATACGGCGAAGAGGAAACATGCTGTTTGGCAGTAAAACACAAACACACATACATAAGAACTCACACATGCAAAACATAAAATGCTGAAATATTATTTATCATACTTTTTGTGATAATTTCTTAGCCGTCAGAAGCCTTGAGCTACTGCGGAAGATGAAATAAACACTTGCACAGACAAATATACACAGTCTCCACAGGTATTCTGACACAAATATTCACAAACACACACACAAACACTCCTGGAGTTTCTTTTTTTTTGGGGGGGGGGGGGTTCTGCACTGCGGCAGGCACCTGCAGCTGTCCCCCCACTCTGCTCATTATACACCCGTTTCGACACTCTGGACTTCTGCTGCACATATGCTCTCGACTGTGTGCTAAATATGGTCAGCATCATGTTTATCCGGTGTGTTTTTAATGTAATAACAGTCGCACTCATTGGTTAAAGGGTTGAGATTTTGTGATTGCAGTTGAGATGATGTTCATTTTTCTTGAATAATTCATAATATATGCTTTCCCCATGAGGCACGTGTACCTGTGTTTTTTTTTTTTTGTTGTTGTTTTTTTCCTAGCTCTTTAACAGCCACTGCGTATCCTCTTTTCTTCCTCCACCTGCTACACATTGCTCTGCCACACTTCCAAGGAATTTGTACTTTAAAGGCGCGCCCCTTCGCTCCATGCACCGTAACCAGTTTGACTTTAGATCAAACTTTTTCTGTTACTCTCACCAGACACCAAAAACCCAAGAGCAAAGGAGGAATATCTGGAATTGCCCTCTGCTCATTAACTCTAAATTTTAACACCAGCAATGTCTTTCATTCCTCCTCCAGAGGAGAGGTGGAAGATATATTACTCCATATATTCCTGCTCCCCCAAGGAGCTTGAATATATGCGGTGATAAGTTAACTATATCTGTTCTCTAACTCATATTTTTCTCTCATCTTCTCCCATATGCACCAACGTTAACTTTAAGTGGATGTATATTTTATTTGACAGTTGACTTTAGTTTCACTCTATTAGCAAAAGAAAAATCATACTTATATACAGTAGTAGTTTATATAAAAGACATACAATAGTTGATAAATAATGATAATCAAAATGAAAGAAACATGTTAACATCCTCTATTTCTCATCCACCTTCTGCAGATGCCAAGGCCTGCCCCTCCAAAGATTTCCAGTGCCGTAACGGGAAGTGTTTGGCGCCGATCTTTGTGTGCGATGGCGATGACGACTGCGGGGACGCCAGCGATGAGGAGAAGTGCTCTGCTCCCACCTGCGGTCAGCATGAGTTCCGTTGCAATGACTCCGAGTGCATCCCTGCCCTGTGGAGCTGTGACGGCGACCCGGACTGCAAGGACAAGTCGGACGAGTCCATGGAGCGCTGCAGCCGAAGGACGGAGCCCCAGAAACCTCGCTGCCCGGTGGGCGAGTTCCAGTGTGGGAGTGGGGAGTGTGTCCACATGAACTGGAAGTGTGATGGAGACGCAGACTGCAAGGATAAATCTGATGAAGCAAACTGTCGTAAGTCAACTGGGTGAATAATAAGTGAGCCAATGAGTGCATAAGTGAAAAAAGCCCCAAGAGCCCAAATAGGTCCTACTAAGAATTCTCTGTGTTAGCACAGCGTAATACACCATTTCCCCAGCGCCATAAAACTCCAGTGTTGTTCAGAATGACTGTTAAAATCCATAAAAGAGTCGTACCATTGACATATTCCTTAATTGAAATGAACATAGCCGGTGTAGTTACTCTGAAACAACTTGATGATTTTCAGTCTCCCGAGAGCGGCCGTGACGTCACTGCACATGCTCACAGATGCCGCTTCTCTGGTTTGATTTACTGAGAAAAATAATTATAAATTACACCTATAATTCACAATAAATTACATTTGTAGTGATCATTGTAATGAAGGAATATGTCTTCCAATTGCAATGTTATGGTTCTTTTATGTAATTTATCGGTTCTATAGCACAAAGGCCATGAGCAGTACTTGTTATGTTCATTGTTGGCTGGTGCTGTAGTAATAAAAAGTTAATACCAGCCTCAGCCTTTAATGAAGCCGATTAATGGATAACCACAGTAATGCATGTTTTGTTGTGGAACAATGTGTGTGGCTCCCCACTACTAAAAGACTCTAGTTCAAAGGCTGACATGCTGTGTATTCTGAACAAAGACTATGTGACAAATCTTGTTGTGGCACCAAATGATTGAAGGAAGATCAATGCAAACTTTATCATGATGATCCATGGAGTGTGTTGCCATGCAACCATGTGATCTGCAGAAGCAGAAGGAGAACCTCTTAGTGCGCATTTGACCGTATGTGTTTGTTTGCACGAGTGTATGTGTGTGTGTGTGCATGCACGTGTGGGAGGTGAAGGTCCTTCATCAAGCGAGACCCCCATCTGGTCTCCTTTTCACACTCCCACACACCACTCAGGGAGATGACAGCAGCCTCACACATATGACATGATACAAGCACACTGTGCTGCCACACATCAAACACACACACATAGACACATACACACTTACGCTTTCACAAGGCTTTAACAGACATACATAAAGGAAACATCTGTGCTTACACGTACAGTCACAGATATGAAGAATTTCATGCACGTGCACCTGCTGGAGCTGAAATAATCACAGTCATGGAGGGTTGGTGCAACACTCAAAAACACTCCAGTCTTCTGTAACTCTAAAATGGAATAACCATATATACCAAGGCACAAGCAGCTGTTTGCATATATTGACCACTGCACATACTGTATAATAATACTCTCTAAAATCTTCTCATCTCTCCATGGCAATGATTTTTGTACTCCAGACACATTTTCAAAAGGCCAGTAGGTCATTATTATTTATTGTCTTTGAGATCCAAATACATATGTAGGTATGCACTGTTTGATGGGATTGGCTTTGATTTAAATATAATGTGTCAACAAGGTTAAAAGCGATACACAAATAAGCATCACAGTCATATAGAAGCATTCAGTCACTCAAACCCTTGCGGTCTTTAAATCTATATTCCTACTTCCATTTCATCTTCTCTGGAAGAATAATATATATATGCTTGGTAGGCTATTCCGATCCTTCAACTCGTATTAAGGGGTTTTCTGAAATAATTGACCCCTCTCTATGATTTGACCAGCCTAACTAGGGTGTAGCTTTAGCTATACTAAGCTAAACAAGTAGTCCAGCTTGTTGGCCTCATTACCGATTTAAATCTGCTCTGAAAAGCTGCACCTCGTTTGCTAGCTAGCTTACTAAACAAGATATGATTAAAAAATTCTGTTTTCCAGGTCCAGATATGATTAAGGGTTTTATGTGGGAATCACAGCATGAATAATGCAGAGTAGGCCTACATAAAGAAGAACAAACCCAGGAGCATAATTGCATACTCATTTCTGACAGTGACATCAAGTCAAGTTGTCTTGCCTGGTCTACATGTGTCTGTGGAACCATCTGTCTCAATGACCTTGTTCACTATTTCCCAAATATGATGAGACAGGAGCTGCAGGTTCTATATGTATTTGATTGGGTCTGTGTGCACACTCATCATAGTGTGAATGCAAGTGGGCGGGTGTTGGTTTGTGTCAAATGAGATGTATTAGTTTGAGATGTCTGTGTTATGCAAATGAGAACGGAGCTCAGCTGAGGGAGGTGCAACATTTTAATGTAAATGAGAAATGTGAGAATCATTGCATCGCTGCAGTTTGTTCTCTCCTCCTCCTCCTCCTCCTCCTCCTCCTCTGTTCCGTCAGGCTCGGCTCATTCCCACAGACCCGTCCCCTGGGTATCATCGCCCATCTTATTTGAAACATCTGTCTCAATAATCTTCTGTTATTTCATAGACATGCTGTGAGCGGGGTGGCGGGAGGTTAATGTAAATGAGAAATGGTCAAATTGTATCTCTCGTCGCTTCTCTCCTTTCCCTCCTGCCACCAGTTCTGCAGATGGCAATCCATTATTATTACTATTCATCCCGGGGATTTATCATAATTAGCTGAGCTCAGATCCCAATCATTTGGCTGAAAGAATCAGCACATTTTGTGATGGCACAGGATTATGTCTTCCACACTTTGCTGATTTTAGCATTAACATGTGTTTGTCTCCATTTATTTATTTATTTTCTCTTTTTGAGCGCCAAAAGTCTTGAGTCAGCTCCCCTGTTTGCTCATGTAAATGTGCACACCTCCTGCTGCACACATGCATTTACGGTCGGTCATTTCATGTGTCTGTACGTGTCTGCTCACCTACAGCTCATGTTTAAATTTGAGGCCGTGTGCTGTGTTGGTGTGAAACAGTGCGTGCGGCTGGTGTGTTTCATGCCATATTTCCTGATACAGTGATTGTGTGCCACGCATTTTTTTTTTTTTTGTGGCCTCCACGGCAATTGATCATGTCTGCCTTCGTTCCCTTGGCAAAGCTAGTCCAAAACACAACACATGAATAATTAAACAGCCAGTTAAAAAGACGGATGAGTTAAATAAACCTGCCCTCCGCTGTTAGAGCAAGCACAAAAAAAAAAAAAAACCTATACACACTTGCGCATACGCACGTGCTCAGTAGGTCACTAGATGTGGGTTTTCCCTCAGACAGTGAATGAATACCCTCCTGGTTTTCATTTCCACTGGGGCTTTTTTCTGCACAGGTAGGGGTTGCGTATGACCGATTACTCTTGGATTGGAACGCACTCCGAGTTGGCCTGAGGAATGAAACAAAATGCATACTGTGCTCATACGTGTACATCTTCAGAGACACAGAAGAGGAAGAGAAATGATGGGCTGAATGTGATAGTGTGTACTTTTGAAAATGCTCTGTATTTGTGTTCTGAGCCTCCAGGTTCGCATCCTCTCATAGATAAATCATATTTCTACTGTAATCGTAACGTAACACCTCACCTAATTCTAACATATGCGTGTCTGATATGTGTCTCTCAGCCCTACTTACATGTCGGCCTGATGAGTTCCAGTGCGGTGATGGCTCCTGTATCCATGGCACCAAACAGTGTAATAAAGTTCATGACTGTCCAGACTACAGTGATGAAGCTGGCTGCGTCAACAGTAAGTATCAGATGAGTACCAAACAGAAGGCAGCCATGCAACATGCAAACAACTCCCTGATTATCAGCAGTGCAACACATCATCACTCAGATCATGCAGGTAGTCAAACGTTGGAGTAAAATTACACATTCTAATGCTAAGAAAACTGGGGATGCAACCGCCTACAAGCTTAATGTATGTGTGCAAATCCTCAGCTTAATGCAATCCTTTTTTTGTGTGTGTGTTTTGTTATACTTGATTTACCCTAAAAATTGTCGACTTTAATACTTTTAGCACATTCACAGGGGATATAGTCGAGAGGAGCACAGATGGCTGCATTTGGCTGCACCAGTTGATCCTTCCCCATGAGAAACTGTTTAAAGATATACATTTTGAAATGAGTAAGAAAGACAGAGGAATGGAAGTGTAGGAAACCATAATGTCAAAGTGTTTAAAGAGTGTTAAAGTGATAAGATTTTGAATCTCCTTTGATGCATACAAGAAGTTTTCACAGTTTTGTTTGCTTTGTTTTTCTTAACTCAACCACAAACTGCATATAGTGTTCACACGACTGTAGCACACAAATCTACATCAGTTAAGCTGCAATATGCATTAATAGACGGTGAATATCACCTCTGCTCTAGTATGTGCCCCCTCATCTGCCATATTGAAATTTTTATTGCTTTCAGGGGAGCTCAGTTGCCACTTGCTCCCCTTTAGTTCAAATCCTGCCATGCATAAATTGTGTGTGAAGCCTGCACCCTCATTTTCTTTTTATTGCTTTATACTATCAGCTGTATTGTGAGTTACATTTGATATGATACATACATATTCTACCCTAAAATACTTGCACCTTGACTTTACATACTGTGGGACACAGTAAAGCTCAAGGTCATCGTCAGATGCTGTGACTGGCAGTGAACTTTATCTTGAAGCCAGTGTTCTGAAGTGCAGCTGTGAAACTGACATTGATTTTTTCTTTTTTTCCAAAAAGGGCACAGTACAGTACGTGTGCATGCACCTGTGCATGTGGTCAAATTTTTCTGTGAGTGAAAAAACCAACATTAAAAAACAGGCAAGCAGCTAGAAGGTGCTGTGGGTTGTACAGCTGTGTTTATGTGTGCTTCAGTCACAGTGAAAGTGAGGTTCTGCACAAAACAGGGACATTTATTGATGAATTAGCTAAATGATAAGGTAAATAATTTTCCATCCTTTCAAATTTATGATGTTGCAATGTTCAGTAATAAATAAAAATGCAGGGGGGACAGCAGGCACGGAAACCTGTTCTGTCCTCTCCAAGTTTGATGTCAGCAAATAACAGTAGGTGCTATCTAAGTGCTATCTTTCAGTGCATCTCTCTTTAGTCTGTCTCGCTACCTGAGCCAGGCACTACATCCCTTGGCCTCTCTCTGCCTGGTGGCCCTGATAATAATAATAATAATAATAATAATAATAATAATAATAATAATAATAATGATGCACTTTTCAAAATCCAAGTTATGAAGTGCTTCACGAAGCACCGAAATAAAACACACAAGTCAGAAAATCAGCAGGCTTAAAAAGAAAACGGACACTTTTCATTCACTTTTCATTTCTGTAAAAGAGGTCAAATCAAAAGAGTTTCAAATCCTGCCACTCACCACAACATAAAATCATCCAGTTCAGAGCCACTGTCAATCCAACCTTGCGTTCAATAAACCAACATCTTTGGAAAAATGTTAATACTGTTCCTTACCTTCTGGCTTCTCAGGCTTCTCTGTTTATTGTCCTCAATAAACTCCACCAATTAAAATCTCAACAAACCATCTCGAACATTACATTTCACTGTGCTACCTATAACCTGCCTATTTTTATAGGTAGCTGTAGCTAATTAATCTATTTATCAAGCACTGCTCTGATAGCTCTTACTGAGATCAAAGACAGCACAAATCAGCTTCCTGGCTGACTGTCTGCTCTATGTGCAACCAGCTTTTACAGTATTACTTACTAAGGTGTGACATTTATTGTACCTACCTACTTTTTACTCCCCGAAAATAATGAGAATTTTTACTGGAACGTTAGCAATTTTCATCTTGGTGGGATTAAAGTTCATCTAGCAGAATGCTAACCTGGCTCAACTGTGCATGATTTTTTTTTTAAAACACCCAATAAAGCTACTGGACACTGTATATTTTTAGCTGTTAAAGTAAGTGAAAGCCTAATTTTTAACTTTGCTGTATGTTGTGTCTTCATCACAGTTACAAAGTGTGACGGGCCCAGAAAGTTCCGCTGTAAGAACGGGGAGTGTATTGACAGCAGCAAAGTGTGTGACAATGTGAAAGACTGCAAGGACTGGTCTGATGAACCCATGAAGGAGTGTGGTAAGATAATGTCTTCCTCACACACACAAACACCCACACTCATTAGTTCTTTCACCACTTCAGGCACACAGTACATGGACGTACATACGTAATAGCACTGATGCACACATTCATTCCCGGGCGTCATCGACCACTTCTGATGTGGGTGGTCACTCCTCTTAGTAAAAGGAGCTTCATTTGATCAAGGCAGGGTAAATCAGGACATTTCTGAACTGCCTTGATATGATCAAAAGGGCCAAGCGACTCTGTCCTGAAGTGTGATCTTAGCCAGGAAATCGTGACCGGACTACATTACCCATAAGGAGCCACACAGATTGCACACACACCGTAGATAATTACCACTTAGCGAGGTTCAGTCAGGGACTTCACAGCAATCCAGTTGCAAACAGAGTGAAGCAGTTGAGAGAAACATACCTGTTGATAAAATCTATCAAGTAAATGTAGCTCATTAATTGCAATTGAAGCAACTTGTGATGTATCAGTGAAATTTCACTCAAGTGCACGTACAAGTAGAAGTCTCTGAGATTACTCAAGGAGACTGCTCTGAAAAGGCATGTGAGCATGCTGCCCTTTCAGCTCCCTCTGATCTTGAGGCAGATGGATACACACTATAATGAGATTGCCCTGGAACCATATCATTAATGTTGAACATGATTTTCTGTGTGTCCAGAGGCAAACCTGCGCCTCCTCTGTGTTTTAGTCGCAACTGACAACTACTATTATCCACCACCTACAGAAGGTGACAGTTCCTGAACAAAGGACAGGCCAGAGCAATGGAAAATGGCTAAAAAGGAATTTATGAATGAGTCAACAGGAGATGGGGGAAAAAAATCCTGAGGAGTGAAATTACACTATGAGATCAAAAATATATGGACACTTGAGCATTACATCCATATGATTGTTGAGTGTGTTATTCCAAAGCCATGGGCATTAATATCCCGCTGTAACAGCCTCCTTTCTTTTGGCAAAGCTCTTTACACCATTTTGGAACCTGGCTATCGGGAACTGCTCCTATTCATCCACAAGAGCATTAGGGAGGCTGTGAGCAGCAATGTCAGGCGATAAAGCCTGGCTTGTAGTCAGTGTCCCTCTTCATCCTAAAGATCTCGGCCTGCCAAGTTTTCCAGTCCGAACTCTGAATACAATTTCTTTGTGTGTTTTGTCGGGGTGAGAAAGGACAGGATCTTCCCCAAACTGTGGACAGGAAGTTGGAATCATCTAAAATTTCATTTATGCTGTAATGCCAGGATTTCCCATTTTCACACATCATCAAAATTAGTCCCTAGTCACGGGGGGGTTGTACTACTCAGCCTGTGGAAATAGTAATCCAGTGATGTTGTGAGTTTTTTTTTTTTTTTTTGTACACAAGGGTCAACATGACAAAAGTTTTTTTTCTGCTTCACAAACTGAGGACATAAAGCTTGAAAGGTTGAACAGGCAAGAAGGGTCAAATGAAAGACACTGCAGTGTTATGATGCATTGTGAGAAGTGTAGTATCCATCATTTCTAGAGTTTGACCCAATATTGGTGACGTCCACTTTGACCGCAAAAAACGACCCACACCAACACCATACAGATGCAGACTTGAGTGTCCACATAATTTTGCCCTATAATGTGTTCTGTAGCGGCTGCTGGATTAAAATGAATCAGTTGAAATAGGTTTGCATGTTTTCACATTCTTTTACTTTACTTCATATTAAGTTGACACTGAGCTGAGTTGTTATTATCTGATGGAATAAACTCAGCCTTCATTTTAGTTAAATGTCATGCTAATTTCTCACAGTCATTCCTTCCCTCTTCCTCTCCCTGTCAGTCTCTCTCAATTTCTATTCTTGCTCTTTATCTTCTCTCTCTCTCTCTCTTTCTCTCTCTCTCTCTCTGTCTCTTTGTCTCTCCCTCTCTCTCATAGTCTCACTGTTTCACAGCGCTACCTGTAGCCTTGAAGCTTAAATCTTTAATGTAAACCGGTAATGAAGTACCAGCTTTAGCTTTCGGCAGCGATCCCTCTCCACTCCCAGGAGGGTCGCTGAAAGACAAAAGGATAAATGGAGGTGCAGAAACTGATACAAAAGGGAAAGGACACACAAGAGGAATGAAGACTGAGAGATAGCTGATCTGCTAAAAACAAAACGGGCAGGAAATGGGGGGGGTGGGGGGGGCTGGGGTGAGAGGATGAAGGAGAGCGTGTGCTTGTGCAACAATAGGCATCATGGTGGAGTGGCACCTGGTGCATATGGCCAAGCTCTCTGTTGGAGAATGGATTGGTTCCAGGTGCGTTTGGCTAACACTGTGCCTGCGGGCCATGAACACACACACACACTCCTGTCTCTCGCTTTCTACCACTTTTAAGCTCATTGTTGTTTCTTTTTCAGTGGTACTTTGATGTGTACAGACAGAGCTGACAGGACAACATTCCCTTAACTGGCAGGATGATTAAAACTATGCACACACACACACACACACACACACACACACTTATAACCATGTTTTGTGTTTTTTTTTTTTGTCTTTCTCTATCTTTGTGTCTTATGCAGGTTGTATTGTTCTGTCCAAAAGCCTGCTGGAGTAAATTCATCAATATTCAATTCCTCTTTCTTTGCCTCCATAACTCCCCTCCTTTCCCTGACCATCCCTCCGTCCTTCCTCCTACTGACCCACTCTCTCTCTGCAGGCCTCAATGAGTGTGCCGACAACAATGGCGGGTGCTCTCACATCTGCAGGGACCGGAGAATTGGTTATGAGTGTGACTGTCCCTCTGGCTACAAACTCCTGGACAAAAAGTCTTGCGGAGGTAAAGAAAAAAAAAAGTTATGCGACAAAACTACTGCCAAACCTGCTCGAGCCTTTTTTCGCCTTAGCTTTGAAGTGTTCTATGAGAGATCTGGATTTCACGCAGCTATCAGCCTTATTTTTGGCCCAATTCTGGTTAAAAGAACGGTTTGACATGACTTGAGTTTGGCCTACCTTAATACAGAATGAAACAGTTTTTTTTCCTCCATCCACTGTAAAGCAGTTTTGTTTACATATTGTGCCTTCTTTATTTATTACTTTATTTAAATTGACATGTGAGTGAGACTTCCTGTATTTAAGTTAGTTTTAAGTTGGAGCTATTAATTGACCAACAACCACTCTCACAAGTCCTGTCTTTATAACGTGGTTGTCAGGTCCAGATTGTGGGATGGATCTATAAAATATTAGAGGAGACCATCTCCTAAGCTCATTATTGCAATGTATTACAGCAAGACATCATATGTTACAGTAATGTTATGATTTATCTTAACGTTTGCCACATTTCACTGTAATGATCTTTGATTACTCATGTACAGGTTTGTTAAAGCTGTTCACCTGGGCTCACTGTGTGAGTGTAACTGCCGACATGGACTTTAGCTGGAGAGTTGATAGGCAGAGAATCGCATGGTTCATTCATCACAGATGATCACTGATGAATCTTGTATCTGTCCCTAAAACCACAATTACACATTTTTACATTCCTACTTCTAAACCAGTTGGATTAAGAAGACACCTTTGAAATCAGCTCGAAGTGATTTGTTTTTATTTTGGACAGAGATGGGAAAGCAGTTTCTGCTGCTGATCTCAGTGTGATGAAATTGGTATTGAACTTCTCATCTCATCAGCATATATTTCTCAAAGCGCTGAGCAGCTGTCTCAGTTTTATTTGGTTTAAGGTGTTGACATGTACCATACTGTGACTGAGTCCCTTGTTACCTTGGCCACCGTGGTAATGTTTTCACCCGTTTGTTTCTTTGTTTGTCAGCAGAGTTTCACCAAACTTGGGTGAAAAGGGATGGGTCATTGAAGAACCTGTTAAATTTCTTTGCAGATTTGGTCAAAGTTGCGGATCCATGACTTTTACTTAACATACAGTAATTTCATTTTTCAAGATATTTCTCAGTTTCTAAGGAAATAATGTTGGACCTTGTATAAAATCAGACTTATTTATGGAGTTGGGATTTATGGGTTTGTACAGTTCACAGTAAGTAACTGTGCATGTGGCGCCAGTAGCATTTAGGAATGCTTACATCAGTATTTCATGCAAAATGCAACTCATAAAATGACACAATAACAATAGGGGTTGCAACAAAGCAACGAGACAATTCATACAGCTGTCGAACTGTATGAGTTGTATAATGCTGACGTCTCAGACCACTTCCTTTTTCCTCTAGTTTTTCTATTATAAGAGCTAGATAGACGTGTGTAGGAGTGTTTGGCCTTGGCCGAGGGAGAATTACAGAGTGCCATTCTAGTTCAGAATGAAGTAGCCAGGAGAAAGTTTTCTGTCTGGTGGGCAGGTAAAATATTCTGTAGACAGACTATTGATTCATACTGGAAAAATGTTCAGCCAGCAGTATAGACTTGTTTTTAGGTAAATAGGTGAAATTGTAATTGTAATACACAGAAAAGAAATGATTGTCTAAATCAAAGTATTGTTTCACAAGTTCAGCATTCACATTTCTCCATTTATCTGTAGAAGCTCTTTGTCCAACAGACGTAGAGTAAATACTTGAAACTCAATTTTAAGAATCAGACTCTCATTTGAAGCGAAGATTCTCTCTTGAAAGATTGTGAACATCTTAGATAATGAACATGTTCTTATCTTATTTCTCATTCTTCAGACTAAGATAACAGTGTGTGTCTCCATCGCTTTGTTTGGATCTTTATTTCTCGGTGCCATGTTTCTCTCCACAGACATAGATGAATGTGAGAATCCAGACGCCTGCAGTCAGATCTGCATCAACTACAAAGGAGATTATAAGTGTGAGTGCTACGAAGGCTACGAGATGGACCATGCCTCTAAGACCTGCAAGGCCGTGGGTAAGCCATTTATCACACACACACACACACACACACACACACACACACACACACACATACTCACACCCATTTGCACAAGTAAAGACACACACTGTCGTAGATGGATGTTCTCACCAAAATAATGGAGACCCACTCTTCTATACACACTACTTACTCTCCCATTCCAGCAGCCCTAACTACCGAGTCACATCCCACACTATTCTCAGACTGTGGGATTCGGTGAAAGGAGAGGCATGCTTTGTATGCAGGCCCTGCACAGCAATCTGTGCAAAGATAAATATTTGCCATCTTTTTCTGTAGTCCTCACTAATGAAAAGTTTGCAGCCAGCTGCCTCTGCTCTCCCTGGAGTGTTAAGGGAAGGATGTTGTGTAAGGAGGGGGCTCCTGCCCACTCGCTATAGGACACAGGTCTGTATCCGCCGTTGGCCTGGGTAAACACTCCGGGGCAGTTACTGTGAATGAAAATAAAATCTTGTCCTTAAAGCTGCACTAGGCAGGATTGTTACTGAAAAATGCGCTGCCTAAACCCTGAGGTGAGAATGCAACTGTAGCTTGTTAGCCGCACCTACGGCTGCCTTTTTGAAAAGCTCAGTGTGAATTCTGTTGGTTTTTAATCAGGCTCCCCCGTTCTCAGTCTGTTACAGCTGGCTTTAGCGATAACGATGCTGTCTGTCAACAACCATTCAAACACGCGCAGATAACGTTTCCTGCCACTACTGACAAATTAGAGCTTCTGATGTGCAGTGATGTTTTGATAAAAGTGGATATACTGTACGTTTTACATCTGACAGTGCTGAAAAGAAACCAAACAGTCCTGGACAGTGGTAATCACTTGTGCCCACTTCATTAATAAAAAAGCATGATGGACTGTGCTGTTTAACATGCACCACAATATATCCTTTCTGTTTAAACGAATAGAGGGGTACTTGCTGTACCTGCAGACCTAGAAGGGATTAGAAACTATAATCGCTGCATTATCAGGTGTTTTATCTACACTATAAAGTTCTACCGGAGATATAACCTTTTGCTAAGGCGGCGTTAATGCCTTGCATCTACACCTTTACTTGTGAATGGAATCCTCAACAGATTGAGTTACACAGCAAATTAACTTTTCTGCAGGAAAAGAGAGAGGGGGAGAGAGAGAAGAGTGTTATTAGTGATTACAGCCATCGGTCTTAGGTTGAGTCATTATAGGGTGAACTGGTCTGGTAATGAGAGAGCTTAAAGCAGAAAACAGGCCCTCACTCTTAAGCTAAGTGGCATAAAAAACACCAATGATTGCTTCATGTGTCTCTGTGTGAATCTTTATTAGTGCCAGGCGGAGCAAACAGTCCTTGTCAGGGGCCAAGGCATTTATTAGAGAGGAAGCAGAGGAGAAACAAGACAGATGGATGAATGCATTGTATGAATGTCTCTGCTCATTGAATTAATGCAGACTTGCATACGCACTGTTGGTTGTGGTACATGTTATAGCGTGCCAGAGGAGACAGAAAGAGGAACAGACAGAAAATGTGACAGGATTATTGTTTATGTTGAGGTTTATTTATTCAGAGGCGCAAATAGAGATGGGACCATAAATACGGAGACGGCTGCTGTGTGAAGCTGAGGTTCTGTGGACGTAATGAAGCTGCACTGGCCCATGAACTCATTCCTCGACACACACATGTACTGTATACCCAATCACACGCATGCACGCCCAAAGACATCAGCATGCATATACACTTTAGTTATTTAGAGGAGTCGTGTCAACATTCATACGGAGATACAATCCCCCTCCTGTGACTGACTGTCCGTGAGGGATGCTGCATTCTGTGATGAGATGTGACATGTGCCAAGTGACAGTATGATTTGCACACACTGAAGTTCAGGCTGTCAAACGCCAGGCTGTTTATTTGTGCCTCTGTCTCGGAGACACTTGGCAAAAACACAATGTCATCATCGTGGTACGCATACCCACAGTGCCATGTAGAGATGTATTTTTCTGCATTTCCTGGTTGGTGGTTAGTGCAAGAATGTGCAGATGATTGTGAGAAGAGTCACTTAAAGCTATGCAAAAATCTCTGCTCTGTATGTTCTCATGCTAATCCTAACACATGGTTCCTGTCTTTGTAGATTCATTTCCAAGTCATATGAAACTGTTACACTAGCTGTGCTAATTAAAAGTAAAGTCTCAGGTTGGAGTCATAATGTGTTCCCTCTTCTAAACTGGTTTGTGTGTGGGTGTTCATGTTAGTATGCCGCAGCATCCATTAAGTCCCCTGAAGGAAGCCTTGCTCTACACTAATTGCATTCATTGTTTTTGTGTTTACACCTTTATGGGTGTGATGCCACTCACTGAGTCGTCAGCTTGAGTTCTTATTGTTTGTGTGTGTGTGTGTGTGTGTGTGTGTGTGTGTGTGTGTGTGTGTGTGTGTGTGTGTGTGTGTGTGTGTGTGTGTGTGAGTGAGAGAGAGAGTGGGAGTTTGCTGCATGTGTGAGACAGATGAAGAGAGGAAGCAAACAGGATTTTCTGAAGCATTTTCTGACCAGTTCAGTCATCCATCATACATACAGTAAACCAGAGCAAATACAAAACTGAATTTGGAAGGCTAGAGACCAAGAGGGAGTAAGAGATGGATGGAGGAGGACGCTAACATCTGTCCCCCATTTAGAACAATGATGTACGCTTGTGGTGTTATTCCTCATTGTTATCACTATTCTGTGTCACAACTGATCAGTAACTGATCAGAAAGACAATTGAATGCTAAATGGACTGCACTTATATACCACTTATTCTTAGTGGTCTTATTGACCACTCTAAGCACTTTACACACATTTATGTGGTGCCTTTTTTCTACATATATATATATATATATATATATATAGTGCTTTTTCTACCATACACACACACTCACACCAATGATACATTAGGAGCAATTAGAAGCTGCTGGGAATTGAACCACCAACCTTCCAAACAGTGGGAGGCCCCCAATTACAATAGTATTGCAGGATAAAAATGTTTTGCCAATGTCCACATTTGTTTGTTTTCTTTTACCTTTCTAAAAGATGCTAAATGAAATACCAGTTTTAACACTGTCTTATTCAACAAAATACAGGTCTACTAACAACCCAATGGTGACTACTCCGTATGTTTGAAGTGTCACTCATCATGAGTGGGGACAAACTTAATTGATAATTTTTCTTAATACATGTAACATTCACATGCAGACAATAAAATTTCCCTTTAATGACGGTAGACAACTGAGCCCTGTTAGGTAGTCAAATGAAAGTTCACAGACAGGAGTGAGGATCGGTGAACAGTGGGGATAGTTTTCAGGGACACACACAAACTGGTTGATAAAAGCAGGACACAGTGTCACAACAACACAGAGGAAATTTACAAACTGCCTTTGGACCAAAAGTCTTGCTTTCCTTTCCACTCTTGTTCCCTTCTCCTGTTTCTTGTTCCCTCTCTCATCTACAGTAGACTGCGGGCTTAACCACTGTGCCAAGAGCAGTTTGTGCAACACTTGACAGTTTGAGCACACACTTTTCAAAATGGGTTTAAAGCAGTGGTCAGATTTTCCCCATTGTCAAAAGATTTTGCCATGGGACCCAAGATGTTGTGGAACACTGTCAAACCTCATTTCAGAAGTTTTTCCTGCAGTTTTGGGCTTTTAATGTACCAGCCCGTAACATTTTATTCTGTCTGCCTGTGGGAATATTGGTAACATTGATCCAGAATACAGTTTTGCACTTGGATATTTATTATTTGTATCTTGTCTCTTAATTTTTTTCAGTGACCTAGCAAGCTTTATAACTCACAATTTTAAAATGCAGATGTGCAAAAAATACTAACTTTTATCAGAATAAAAAAATGCAACAATTTTCTCACCTCAAAAATAATGACCCGTTATATATAAAGTACTTACCATGAGGAACGCTGGCAAATAGGATGACTTTTTGGCATTTGACACAAGTTGTTGACAAGTTGTTGTGTCCCCTGCTGCAGCATCTCTTCATTATCATCTAGCATGGTCTGTATGTCTTAACGAGCATGGCGGACCTAGACATGGGTGTTTTCTTCCACACATGACATCATTATAATAACCTCATCCAGTGTGGGTCCATTCACACTGGCTGCAAATAGAGATGGCCCATCAGCCTGCAGAAGTTCACACTTTTTATTCCTGACCTGACCTTTCTGATTGTCTTTATGTCAGATTTTTTCCTTTTACCTTGCAATATCTCCACAACATAAACATTTGCTTTGGTGCAAATCAAATCAATGCCCCTGCAGAGCTTGACGGCATTTCCCCCAGCCTGTATTTATCTTTTCACCACATTATCTTAATTGGCTAATGGAGGAGAGCAGCCCTAAACTGGCAGTGCAGATTAAAATATATCCAGGGAACCCTGTTCTTGTAGAGACAGCAGACTGTTGCTCCGCTGGGATCTAGTGAGGAGAGATAATATTGCACTTTTTCGATGACATCTCTAATTCCATGGCCTGAAGAAAACAGTGACTCAGCTCTTTTTTTTTTTTTTTTTTACCTCGAGGAGGACATATTGCTGCGACATCAGTGATGAGGGATAAGATATGTCTTGAAAAAGTGAGTTAGGGGATTGATGAAAGAGAAGCTGGATCTATCTCTGTCCTTATTATACATACTTCAGAATGCCCTTACTTTCTTTTATCATCCTGTCATACTCGCTCTCCTCCCTCTTCCTCCGCCCAGCTAACTCTCTCTCCCCTGCTGTCATTTGAGTTGTCGATGTCTATTTCTTCTTTCTTCCTCTCTTAATTACGTCCTTTTACTCGTCATCTCTCTATGACTCTACCTGCATCGATCGCATTTTCTTTTGCCTGTTTCGCTCCTGCTTCATTTCTCTGTCTCTCTCTCTCTCCCTCTCTCTTCCTCCCTCTCTCTCTCTCTGTGTCTCTCAGCAGGTGAAATTGATGGTTACAAACCCAGTAGTCAGAGGAAAATGATTGGATCCAAACAGTAGTAGAAATGTAATATTTTTTCCCTGTGTAGTAGCCCATAGTAAACCGGGGCTGAGGAAACCTATTGAGGCATGGTCGGTTCTCAGAGAGAGTATGAGCTTTTGTGTGTGTGTGTGCGCGGTGTGTGTGTGTGTGTCTGTGTGTGTATAGTCAGAGTTACTGTAGCCCAACTTTGACTCTTTTTTAAATGCTTTACGTCACATTTCTACTTTACTGGGCAGTGGGGAGTGAAGAGTGACATGACAGATAAGAGAGAGAAGTGAAGATGAGGGAGAGGAGCTAGAAAATGTGATGGGTGGGTATCGGTGGGAATAAAAGATAGACAGGCGGGCAGGCAGGCAGGCAGGCAGACAGACAGACAGAAATCTAGGGCAAAACAAATTAAAGGGAAATTATTGGAGCCCAGGTCGATGGATGATATATATGTTTAAGGGTAAATCTCATGGATTTGTAAGCGGAGTGTCTCTACCTTATGCAGGCATGCGCACAAAGCTCAGATATTTTTTGTGTGTGCATGTACCAAAAGCAAAGTTGACCTTGTTGACTGCAGGCGATTTATTCAAATGCTTGAGTCATGCTCACCTTCAGACTGCTGAAAAATGTGCCGCAGGTAACTAATGTGCCAGCCAACATCATGCACTGTACACACCTGAGGTTGAGAACCCAGAAACACACTTTTGACACACTCTTGCACTAAAAATAGAACAGTGTGTCATTTCTAGTTGTTGGGCTACTAGAAATGACACAGCCTAGTGTGCTTTGTTACTTAAAGCAGCAGGACAGACAGACATTCTCACACATATTCAGCGACACTTTTAAAATGAATGTTTCCCTTTTTCAGCCTTCTGTGCTTTTAGTTTGGACCACCTCACACACTGTACAAGCTACTTTCCTGCAGTCAGCGTATAATTGTATGAATAATTGAGTGAATAACATTATGTTGTGCCAAAAAACGTGTGTGTGTGCATGCGAGCGCACGTGCGTGTGTGTGGAGAATATATTATTATCCTAACATTATTAAAAATACATGCTTTTAGGACCTAAATAGTACAAATGCATAACAAGACCTCAGTTAACTCATATTATGTTTCCTCTTGGGAATAAGAACCAACATCAACTCACCCACGGTATCTTAGTAGACAACAGTATGTGTAGGTTGTAAACAGTACTGCTGCAGTCACAGGGGAAAAAGGACTTGAGCACAGAGATTGATTTGCAGCCTTTAATAGTGCAAACGGACAAATATTTTGAGGTTTCTGTGTCTTCTTCAGTGTCAAAATGGAACAAAGTCAAATACACATATAGCCAACCTAAAATAGGTGTACAGTTGTCATTGTATAGCTAGTTGAACATGATATAAATACATCGCATAAAGGTGGCAAGGGTGGGAGTTACCACAGCCAATGACCTCTCATGTCAGCATCACACAGTAAGAATGTTTATGAAAAATTGCAGGACAAACTTTTATACACCATACATCGTCAGATAGACTTTTATATAAAGGCTGCAATATTGACAATTGTCACAATGTGTTGAGCTGGTAACGTATAAGAACAGATACAGCAGTCCTGGCATGAAGTGTATGCATGTTCACCTTTCAAATACAGCTTTGAGAGGTGCTGTGCAATTTGTATGTCATTATCAAGATCAGCAAATGTTTCCTTCTCACATGTACACTGTGACATTTATGATTGACAGGATTTTAAATTGCCCATATGTAATAGAGAGTGGGTTGAGAATGATACATGCCCTCTTTTGGGGTCATAATAGTAGGTTAATGGCTGTCAAGGGGTCTCCACCTACCCCCCAGAGCTCTGTGGCCCCCCTCTCCCATCTTACCAATGTCAGGTAGTAAATAAATGGCTGAAATTGTTCTTCGAGAGATGTCCTTATACATTATTGTGACATTAATGTCTTTCCCGCTCCATCAGGAAAAAGTCCGTACCTGATGTTCACCAACCGCCATGAGATCCGTCGCATTGACCTGCTGAAGAGTGAATATACACAAGTGGTTCCCACACTGAAAAACGCCGTGGCCCTGGATGTAGACGTTTCCACCAACAAGATGTTCTGGTGTGATTTATATCATCGTAAAATATACAGGTATATATGAACACACACACACACACATATACACACACACACACACAATGCGCAGTACATTTGACTGATGCGAGTAAGGCCTATAAAAACCATGAATGGCGTTGTACAGAGTCTGGACTTTAGGAGTTTAGATAACCTCGTCCTCGTTCTTCAGCCATTCTGTCATCCTCTCTCTCCTATATCTATCCATCTTGTCTGCTTCAACCTGGCACACCTTCTGGTAGCGAGACAGACACACCTGGGGGCTGTACGTGTGTGTGTGTGTGTGTGTGTGTGTGTGTGTGTGGGTGTGTGAGAGAGAGAGAGTGTGTGTGTCAGTCACACCTGGAGGGCTGTGTCATCAGTCTGACAGTAAAAGGTGGAGCTGTTTGTCCTTCACACACACATCTGCGCACACGTACACATTCATACACAATTACAGATACTGTAGGTTTGTGTGTGTATGCGTGTGTGTGTGTGTGTCACCCTGATGGCTGGCGAATAGTGGGAGGGGCCTTCTATCATCTCAGCTGAGCCATATGCTCACTCTAATTTCACTGCGTCAATAATCACCACCATTACTCATCTGCATGCACACACATTTTCACACTCGTGCATACACACTCTCCTACACAAACTCAGAGATAGACTCAAGGGCTTGTGATAGAGATAGGACAAACGGACTAATTTGTCATGATAGACTCTACTTTTGCGGCACCAAATAAACACACACACAGTCACTTTAAATCACGCGCAACAAGCAAATATGTACAGTCTAATCATCTTTGGCTGTTCTTGATTGTTTTTGCCTCTTTTTCATCTTTTGAAAACAATTTATTTGTATACATCCAAAACCATTAATGTATACCATCAGCCTCAATGCAAACATGCTGCTGATTGCATGTTATATGTTGTGCTTATTGATGTTTGTTTACCCCAATTAGAGAGATAATCAACAAACCAGAGCTTAGTTGGCAGGATTAACGATAGTGAAGTCATCTCTCTTCATAGCTAACTAGCTTCTGAGACCGCATCAGTAAAATGTCCACAACCAGCGGTGACTGTGACACATCAGTGCAGGTTGTTGTAAGTCATTTTAAAGAAATAACAACTCTTAATCAACATATTTATTTGGCCTTTGTGAAGAACATTAAGTGCTCCAACGAATTAGTGCTATCATCAGGTAGCATGAGCACAATGTCAAGCTGAATCATTATAAGTGAAATGAAATGGCAGTTTATTTTAAAGGTCCCATATTATTATATTATTAAGTGAGATTTTTGAATTTTTTGATTATAAAGCAGGTCTAGGTTCTATATTAATACTGTGTATCAAAGCGCTCAGTCCACAGAGAAATGCCAATCAGAATGGGAACTCAGAGCCTCCTCTCTTCTGATTGGCTCACCAACTTGTAGTTACTAGAGTTCCAGGGAGAAGCCCAAGAGAGGGGACATAAATCCACACTGAGATGGTTTTTGGTAGTTAAAACCACAAATATATCTTCTTAAGCATCAACACTTAAAAATAAAACACTAGAAAAGGGTAAAATATGGGACCTTAAATTATCAGGCGACCACTGCTTCATTGTTTCCAGCATTTTATGATTTTTTCCTTTTACCATCTCATTACTTGGTTTCTGTTATATAATGTTTCAAGAATGCTTGACTGCTTCCATTGCTTGTAGTTGTTTTAAAGAGCGCAATACCTTGAATCTCAATGCTGACGACATGATAGACCCTACTCAGGCATCTCACTTCCCAGTGAAGTAGTTTTCCCTCTGATACAGGTGCATGTCATCAGAGAGAAAGTGTATTTAAAAGTGATTCCTCCTCATTGTCCCTCACCGTGACAGTGTGGTTTTCCAGGCTAATTCATAGTGATTAGCATGCTACGGGTCGATGACTTGTTAACTTCTCCCCATGATGGAGATGTCTGTTGCAAACAATGATACAGCCAATTAAAGATGCAATCTGCTCAGTGGTCTTGGACTCATCTGTCTCTGTCTTATTCCTCACCACAGCCTGCCCTCTATTCATCATCCCAACCTGTTCATCCAATCTACGTAAATATTTTTAACTCAAAATGACTACACAGCGAATAATACTAAGAGCGTGAAAATGTACAGTACGAAAGTCAAATATTGGAGTCATTACAATGATCTGTGCGTGATGTATCAGGTAGAATCTGGACTCTAGGATGTGCAAAAGAATCGAGGTAATAACAGAAAAAAAGAAAAAAACACGCTGTCACAGTGTGTTGTCTGTGATTGACAGTTCTTAAATAGCCCACTGTTGCTCCAGTAACATGAGAGATTTCATCCATGTCCACTTTGCTCCCTCATTTTCATTTGCCCCCCCGAGTGAGAGACAGGTGTTGGATCCGTGTTATAAACCCTAGGACACAAGAGAGATCACAAGGCAGCAGCAGGCTAACTTTTCCCCCCATTGATGAAGACGTCTGGAGTGGCAAATAATAATTAACAACGCAATCTGCTTTCAAGTATCTGACTCTCCCGTGTCTACCTCATCCCTCAATCCAACGACTTCACCAGCCTCCACTTTAGTTAAGCCGCCCCTCCCTTCCATACGTCTCATCTTTATCCTTGTACACTTTGCTAACATGTGATGACGAGGTATACTGTAAATTGGGGACATTGTGTTCAGTTGTGCTCAACGTTTTAACAAGGTCATCTTGTATTATCTTGTTTTATGTAATGAAAACAATAGTGTGTTATGTCTGAAGATGTGTCACACTAGTGAAGGAGTTGAGGGAGAGGTGAACGGTGACAGAGGAATGGACGGAAAGCGAGTGGGAAGGTAGAGGAAAATGAAAGCACAAGAAAGGGACAGACACAGATGGGAAGAGTGACAAGAGCAGAGAAAGGGGCAGGTTGTTTTGGAAGCTGCTGATGGATAAAGACAGACTCATTCTCCCTTGGAGGTGGTGTTTGGTGGGAGGGCTGAGGTTGTTACAGAAGTGTCAGGTTTGGGTGCCCCTGACACAGCATTATCTAGAGCAAAGAATACCTGTTACCCACCATGTCCAACTAGGCATCTAAGGCACATAGTAATCTGAAATCTTTCTTCACAAGAAAAGGAAACCAGTGTAGACAGCAACAAATCTAGCAAGTGCAACTTTTGTGTCCGTCTCCCTTTTTCTGCCTGTTCGTAAATGATTGGGGTGTTCATAATTTCCATAACACTGACCAACACACCTCTCCCTCACCATCCACCAGTGCTTACATCAACAAGGCCAGTGACTCATCACAGCAGGTGGCGCTCATCGACTCGCTCCACTCCCCAGAGGGCTTGGCAGTCGACTGGGTGCATAAGAACATCTACTGGACCGACTCAGGCAACAAGAGCATCTCCGTCGCCACGGGGGACGGCAGGAAGAGGAAAGTGCTGATAGCCACTGAGCTGAGCGAGCCGCGGGCCATCGCAGTGGATCCACACCAAGGGTGAGTGGGTGAAGTTTAAGGGTGGAGGGATTTTTTGGCAAGAAAAAGTTGAAAGGGCAGCAATGGATGGAGGCTCTGAGGGCAGGAAGCAAGAAGTGGCAGGGTGGTCGAACAAGCCTGTGACTATCTTTGTCATTCCCTGAATTGGGTGAAAGCCAATGTTCTTATGTAGAAAAGAAGAAAGAAACTTAAAAAAAAAAATAAGTAGGGCTAAAATAATTTTACTACACCATAGAAAACTATCTGTAGTGCTGCAGCCATCTGTTAGATTAAGCAGCTTAACAATTATTTGCAGATACAATGTGACTGTCTCTGTGGCTCATTCTGCCTCTCTCTCTTTGTCTTTGATGATTTGAGTTCCCCAAAGGACTCTTTTCAGAACTCTACAAACCTAGACCAGCATGAAATACATGCAAATGAAGCTAGGCTTTCACAGGTTTCTCGTGGACACATACACACACACGTTTGAAAGTGGTCCAAGTTTACAGTACCTGCTGTACCGCAGGGCCTGTTTCAGAAGTAAAACTATTTGATTTTGGAGAGAGAAATGAGATAGAGACAGAGTCATACAGGGACATTGTGTGACGGAATTAAGTAGATTCAGTCACACACATACACACCCATTGAATTTGTCCTTTTCATATCAAACTTATCGGCACATCTCCCCACAGGTTTATGTATTGGTCGGACTGGGGAGGTCAGGCCAAAATTGAGAAGGCTGGGATGAATGGAGTGGATCGACAAGTGTTGGTGTCTGAGCACATCGAGTGGCCCAATGGAATCACCCTGGGTAAGTAATATGAAAGGCTCATCGAACAGGGCAGAGAAAACTGTACCGTGATACCAAGACAGAAAAATCAGTCAACACTGAGACCAGTTTTGAAAACAACATTATATTGCTGAGATTGCTTTTGGAGAGACAGAAAAAAAGAGACTAAATTCAAGACAAGGAAAGAGACAACACCAACAGAAAGAGGGAGAGAAACAAAGAGAGACAAACTGTGTGAGTTCAGAGAAGAAAACAGTCTAGGGGTGTTGCAACCCTTGAGTAGCTCTCATTGTTATAGCTCAGTTTGTGTCTCGCTCTCATCAATCAAGCCAGCGACCACGGGCCTCTGAATTAATAAGCCAGACGCTATGTGCCGTCGATACCTCCCATCATCCCTTTCAACTCCCTCCGCGGCACCAGCCAATTTCTCTCAGCTGCCCTTGCCTGCAGAGAAAGAGCGGCACACAGTCGCCACACTCTGTGGAATTGAGGTGTCGCCGCATCTGTATGAAAACAAATTATTTTTTAGAGTAAGGCGAGTGAGAGAGTTGCACTATAATGCTCTGGGAGAAGGGGGTGGATTATTTTTTCTTCGGACATTGATTTCATACGGAGCGGAGAACAGAGCAGGTGATTGTCTGAGTCAGGGGAGGAGAAGTTGTGAATGAAAATTGCTCTGTGGATTTTCAGATTCTCTCAAATCAGTTACTCAGCTGACTCGCCTTTAGCATGCGATCAAATGCCTGCTGTTAAAGAATATATTAGGAAAATAGATTAAGGAAAGTACAATACTGACTTTCCTTAATCGATTTTCCTAATATGTTCTTTAATAGCAGGCATTGCCTTTGATGAGACAATGATGATGACTACTAAAGTTTATTCACTTCTCCTGGTGGTTAAAATGGCTGAACTGGTCGGCTAAAACAAAAATAAACAGGCAGATATTTTCATTGATTTTGGAAACCACCAGTGACTACATAGCTAATTTCTAGTTTTAAAGATGTTCCATATTCATGATGTTTTATTTAATGTATTTTAAGACATTTTTTAATCCCAGAGCAGAACTTTGTACTTTGTAAACATTCATGTTGTAAGCTGTTTAATAAAAATGGTAATATGGGAGAATTCCTTATTCATGCACACTTTTTCATGTCTGCACCCCTACATATGTAGGTGTTTCTTAGAATTTATAAAAGCAAAGTCATACTGGGATTGTGCCCTTTGCTGTCACATACAATGCAGTCTAGATTTTCAAGCTAACCACTGCACTACTCTGTGGCCCGTAGCAAAGGCACAGAAATGGTGCAGTCCTAATATAAACAGGATTGGGGACTGATACAAGGAGAGAGAATTGTAAAACATTGACTTTACCCTTTAAAATAAGTCCAGCAAGACTAATCAATTTGCTCAAGGGCACATATATTTTTCCCAGCAAGGAAGTCAACCGACAATATTACAATCACATCTGTGTTTTCTCAGCGCAGGGTCTCAGCCGTCATGTCAAAGAAGATTGATGGTGTAGCTACTGGGCCAGTACATTCATACACCTCTCACCCCAGGCCTTTTCTCTTGGAATGACCCCTCTCTCTCTCTCTCTCTCTCTCTCTCTCTCCATTTGTCTCTCTTTCCCTCCTTCGTGTCCTTTCCCCTCTCTATTTCTCCACAGACTTGTCCAATAGGCGTTTGTACTGGGTGGACTCCAAGCTGCACCTGCTGTCCAGTGTGGATCTGAATGGAGACAACCGCAAAGTGCTGCTGTCCTCCCATCACCACCTGGGACACCCATTTGCCCTCACCGTGTTTGAGGTATAATCGGGTTGAGATTAAAATACAGCCACACCGTCATTGCAATGAATGGTATTAGATGGCTTTGGTCTAGTAATTTGTTTATACAAGCAGAAATGTATGTAACCTTAAAGTATTACACCATGTCTGTAGGCCTCCATGCCGGCCAGAGGCAGCCAGGGCCGGAGGCATTATGTTTTCGGGTTGTCCATCCATATGTCCATCTGTCCCATTCTCATGAAAATAATATGTCAGTAACACCTTGAGGGAATTTCTTTAAATTTGGCACAAACATTCAAGGATGAACTGATTAGATTTTGGTGGTCAAAGGTAAAGGTCACAGTGTGAACGCAATATCTCAGGAACTCTTCAAGGGAATCCCTTCAAATTTGACACAAATGTTCATTTGGACTCAAGGATGAACTGATTAGATTTTGGTTGTCAAAGGTCAAAAGTCAAGATCAGCCTGAACTCACAACATGTTTTTTGCATGTAATTTATGAATTCATAGGCTAATTATGACACAGTTTAACACAAATGTCTAATATAATAAGATAATACAATGATAAACACGTGTCATATCCAAATGGTCAAAGGTCAACTTCACAGTGACATCATAATGTTCTGCAAAAACACTCTGTCATTGTTCAGCACTGTAACTCGGGAACACAAGGGGAGATTGTGACCTTATTTCCTGTAACTTGGCTGGTTGGTGTAGGCATACAACCGCAGGGCGGTAATTCCAGTTTTTGTATTAGCCCATTATCTACAGATAGCTTACACTATTTCCTTAGTGTTGTCTATTTTCCAAAGCTTACCACATGTTTTTAGATTGATTTTGTACCTTCTGGGCAGTCGTTTTTTCCTGCCAAGATATTGTGATAGACAAGTAACAGACTTTTTCATCAGATAGGTAATGCATAATTTGTATTTTTCATCAGATACATTCATCATGTGTTGATGAAGTTTAGATAAGAGATTGTTTTGAAAACTCATTTTTGATGAGGGCATCTTTCCTCTTTGGATTGAAGACTGAACTGTTCAAAAGAATTAAATGATACAAGTGCACCACACAGACTTTTGCCTCATAAAATGTATTCAGTATTCAGAGAGTAAAGATATATTTAATTTATTTTCCCATGTTGGGACTTTGCAAGGATTTCCTGTAGGAGGTCTCTACCTGAAAGGCAAAGAAGATGCTAATGTCCTTATTTGACTTCCAAAAGATGCTGTATATATACAGAAAAATAGGTCTGTACTCAAGTGGGACACTCTCATATCATGTTTGTTTGTTCCCATCCTGGTTGTGTATTTCTAGATTCTCAGTGAGCTAAATTTAGGCATTAGACATGAGTTTTTGCTTTTGTTGTGTTATTGTTTTAGGGTTAGGGTTAGTTGTTCATATTTGGTAATAGGAATTAATATGTGTATTAAGTTCTTGATGAATACTAAGGATCACTTGTAGTGTTGCTTGTTTCTGTAGGAAGCACATCCTGGTATATTCAGGGTCCAACTGGGGATGAGCGAGCAGAGACGTGTGCAAGCTTAAGAAGTTGAGGAAGAGAGATAAGTCAGTGGAGGAACATTGACTGACTGAGAGATTGACTGAGGAGAAATAAAAGATAGAGATGTTCTAAAAGTATAGCAGCAGGATAAACCCAGAGAAGGAATGATCTTTTCAAGGGCTACTGAGTGTAGAGTCACAGTAGAGTACAACAATCAATGAAACTAATTTGGGTGTATTTATTGAGTCTGTTAGAGCCCATGAAGTATAGATAGTGTGGAAGGTGGAAAAAGAGAGCTGGAGAACCAGAGTGAGAGTGAGGATGTGAGGGAGAAAGAGGGTGGTGAAATGTGATCAGCTGCACACAGTGCAATGATGAGAAGCAAAGGGAAGAGGGGACATCCATCATGTCCAGCTGAGTGTGCCTGCATGTGTGCTTAGATGTGTGTGTGTGTGTATGTGTGTAAAGGAGATAAATAAAACCAACGTTTCGGGCAGCAGTGAAAGTTCATCCCTGGAGATTAATAGCCCTCAGCTCTTCTGCTCTTTGTTCTGATACAGAACAAATTAAAAATCCCTTTTCCTGGTCCCAACACACTGATAAAGTTTGTTTCTTCAGAGTTGCCTGGTTCGAAACACTGAATGTTTATTTGTTCATTTCATTTAATTTGGGAATTGTCAGGGGCATTAGCTTCCAGGGAATGTTTTTACCTCAGGGTTTTGGTCTCTGTTGAACTGCTTACAGTTAGCCCAGTTATAGAACATCCAATACCATAATTTACACCAGACAATGGTGCAACATTTATTTACATGAAGATGTTGATAAAAATTATTTTGAGAACTTTTACCACATTAGTGGTGATTACAAAACCATCAGAATTGCTGCAGCAATTAATATGTAATGCACTGAAGAAGAAATGAATTTTGATGAGGTTTGGTTGTATGCCGCAAGCAAGGTAAAGAGTTTTTGAGTTTTTATTCATTGTAAATGGAGGTTTTCAGGCGTCTTTGCACTGCAGCAGGGGACCAATCTTACTAGACTGGCAGCAGTTTTTCAAACAAAACTGTCAAACCAATTCACATTCAGTCATATTTCATCATACATTTCATTATAAGCATAGTCCCTACTCATAGGCGCTCCTTATCTATACATACTTGCCCATATAGTGGCTCTTATGAGAATTTGATAGATATGTGGTATAACAAATGTATGGTTTACGGCCAGTACAGCACCTCAAGTGATACCCAGTGAATGTTCATGTTCAAGTCATTTCACTTCAACATATCATCTGCAAACCTCACATCAGCACTCATGTACTAATGTTTCTTAACACCGCAGAGGAAAGACACAGGGTTCCTCTATCAAAGTCTGAACACGCCACCACCAAACACACACGCATATAAAGACACACACACATACAAACCCTTCCAGTCAGTGTCCGCCCCCCCACAGAGACACCGAGCCCTGAGGAAATTTGGATCGCAGAGACACGCAGAGAGTGATGTTTTCTCTTTCTCTAGCTTTAGTATCATTGGATTACTTTTTATCTCCTCTTTGCTTGACTAGAGGGGATAGAGGAGAAGATGAGATGCGCTTGGGAGGAAGAAACAGAGAGGGGGATGGTGATTGAAAGAAATAAAATACAGTCAGGAAGAAAGAAAAGAAAAGGTGTTGGAGCGCATGTTTGCCCTTTCGGCATGAACCCAGCACCGTATAAGGAATTAAACTTTTTTTTTTTTAAAGGGCCTGCATCCAGACCAACACAATATGGTCATAGTGTCTGCGAGAGCTGGTGGGTGCAGTAAACACATTCATCAGTAGCACAGGGGTCAGTTAAATAAGAGCTGAAGTGATGCACAGTCCAGTCCATCCAGGAAATACCTATGTGGGTGTAGCATGCATGTGGAAAGGCTTGGTGCTGTTTTTCAGCTTAGCAGAGATGAACAGAAAATATCATTTGGTTCCTACACAGATTTAACACCAAGTCCACATTAATATTTTATAACTATTACTTATACAACAAAGAATACAAATCAAACCCCAAAAAATCAAAGGCTTCTAACATTGACTGGGATTTGCTTTGTTTGAGCTTTCATTTGTAGTTTTCTGGCAGGAGGCACCAGAATCTCATCAGGCAGATGTGTCAGTCAGAAAGCCCGAGCATTTGTTCTTTTGGGGCAGATTCATGACAAAATCATCAAGGGCTGTTCTCCCCTTGACACTAAAAACACTTCACATCCATTTAGTTGTATTCTCGTCCCCTTGACAAGCACAGACAGCTCTGACTGAGGTGATGTAACGCATGTGTTCAGGAGAGCTTGTGTGTGTGCATGTGTATAAGTTCAGGCCTATCCTTCAGCACATGAAAGATTCACCTCAATCCTACAATGAAGAGTGTTGACCTGCTCGGGTCTGCGTGGGCTTTTGAGGTTTTCATTGTGAGAGGAAGTGACAGACTGACAGAGGAGAAACTTACAGAGAAAAAACAGAGGTAGAGACGGGGAGAGACAGCCACAGAGGAAGAAAGGCAAAGGGAGAGATGGAATGATAGATTTGTTTTATCAACATGGCTGATATTTGTCTTTCATTGTTTCAGCACCACTGTCATATGAGTAAAGGTTATCTGAATCTGAGAGAGGGCGAGATGGAATGATAGGCAGCTGACTGAGAGATGGAAAAGGAGAAGGCGAGAGAAAGGTTAAGTCCACTGATAACCCAGCACAAAAGCAGAACATGGATTCACAGCTATGACTGAATCACACACAGAGAGATGCACATACCTACTTATACACACACACACACACACACACACGCAAGACAAATCTGCGGCTGTACCCCTAGAGGTCCCTGACCTTTAAAGCAGACCGTAAAACTGTGAATGAAACCTCAGGTGAATGGAAAAAATAGATCTATGAGCCATCATCACTTTCTGTAGCCGTCCTGTCTGATCTGTCTCACACTAACCTCCTGAATCGTGTCTTCATTTCTTCATCTTCTTTTTTAACCTTCCTGTGATCTCTGCGTCTCAGTGTTTTCTCTTGCTATCATTTTCTGTGTTTTTCTTAATTGATGTGTGTCTGCGTAGACGAAGCAGTCTGCGGTTGCCGTGGAAACAATGTGCCATATCCTGTAATCTTGTAATATCACTAAAGAGATTTGTGAAGAGGTGTTGGAGAGAGAGGAAGAGAAATGGAGAAAGAAGTGAACGATGAGAGTATGTCCTCGCAGGTCTGGGCCCGCAGTGTTTCTTCCTTTATTGAAAGGTGAATAGAAGCAGCTAATGGAGGAACAATTCATTTTAATCATTTTTTTTTATTTTTACTTTACAAAAGGAACTTTTAAAATAGGGAGAAACGGATAGGTGCATGAATATCTAGGAAAGTAGTCATCGTGGATGGCATATGACTGCCAGATTAATACACCAGTAGCAACACAGTCCCAATATATACTATACCAGTGTCTTTGGTATCACTGTGATGGTACCCCTATGGTTGATTTTAGGCAGCTAAGAGTTGCTTTCTAGAGCTACAAACACATTGTGTGCCCAGCCAAATGTCTCACTACTTCCTGATTTGGCACTGAGCATAAACACGAGCTGTTTATAGCTTTTACAACAAACCACCAAGGCTGATCTATTTCTCAGGAGGACGACGGCCTTGCATTTTTTGGTTGTTTTGTTTTTTTATTCCAGTATAAGTCTACTGTTGTTGTTTTACCTGGTTTTTACCTCTTTTTCCAATGCCAAACCTCATCAATACAATCTTTATCACTATTTTTTTCTTTAATTACTGGTTCTATTGGGGGGTTTTCATAATACAAGGATTTTGTATTATTTGTTCAGCGTTAATTGATTGTCAGGATTGAGTGCTGGATGCTGAAAGTGTCAGAGGATACAGTTAAAACAGCACAATCCCCATTACAGTACAACTTGTTAAGTCTTATCAAACCTCTGCTTGATTAAAACGCCATGCTTTTAACATTATTTCAATAAATAATGTATTAAAAGGAGCCTTCAAACCAAAGCCATAGTAATTTCTCATATACCCTCGATTAAAAAGTGAATTAAAGTTACCTCAGGCATAAAACATCTCCTCAAAATGAGTTTCCACAAACTTAAATATTATCAAATTCTGTCACTGAAGAAACTGATGAGTAGAGATTAGGGCTTCCACTTTGACTTAACGCCCCGGGGCAGTGTTTTCACACGGGCAGTAATAAGATCCCCCATTACAAACAAAACTGGTACGTTTAAGAGCATGTGAATTTAATTAAACAGCCATTGTTAGAATGTGCATAAACTGCATCTCTGGAACAAACTGCACAATGTGTTTTTAATGGTGCCTTTCATCACCAAAACTCTTGCAGGATTCCTCAGTGCAGTTTCCTTGGACAATTGCTGTTCCCCATGTTTACAAATGAAACGCCATTTATTCTAAATACATGAATTGCAGTTGTAAGTAGATGATGGTAAATGTTCACTTGGGATACGGTAGCATTTATTAGGTAAGGAGCACACATGAGTCTGAATTACAACAAAACACAAGTTGACACTAGGGAGCAAACTTTCATTCAGTGTGACAAAAACAAAGCAGTTTTGTGTTTAGCCACAAATATAATTACGGACAATTTCTGCAACAGTCTCAAGCTGCTTGGTAAAACTCTAGATGGATAACCTCTGTAGAAGAAACTTAGAGACAGTATTGATCAAAATGGCAGGGGCTAGCTTGCTTCAGAGGATGCTAATCTTTTCACAATCCCAGTTACAAAATCCCTACCTTTTGCTCATGTTGACTGCTGCCGAACTGTTGGGTCCAAAATAAGCCAAGAAGTACCATCTCAGCTTGAACAGTGGAAAACAAACAATATGGCGACAGCCCTGTAAACGTCTTTTTACGATTTTAAATTGTTGAATTTTTACATCAGTCTTCTGTTTTTTCAGTGCTCCGGGTTCAGCAACCAGCATGTCTGTATGTTTTTGTATAACTCACGTTCTCTCTCTATGCAGGATCGCATTTATTGGACAGACTTGGAGGACGAAGCGATATACAGCGCCAACCGACTGACGGGACATGACGTGGCGAAGGTGGCAGAGCACCTCAACAACCCCCTGGACCTGGTGGTGTTTCATGAACAGAGGCAGCCAAAGGGTGAGACTGAGAAAAATGCTGAGAATGGTGATTTTTTTTTTTGTTGTTGGTGGGACTGATCAGATGAGGAGCTAATTGGGCAATCATGACTTTCTGATCATGGTTGCTCCATATACCATTCTCTGTGTGATTAGATTCATGGGTGTGCTGGGCATGTCCGATGATGTGTTTGTTATTTTTCCCAAGATGGATGCATTCCCAGGTGTGTGTGTGTCTGTGTGTGTGTGTGTGTTTTGGTGTGTTTAACAGTGTGTTTTAGCAATTTGTTTGTGTGAGTGTGTTTTCATGCTTTGTTTTCTCTCCTCACTCCGAGCTCAGAGCAGTCTTGTCTGAGTGCCAGTAGGGAGCTAATTGCATTCTCTCATTAATAAATCAAGAGTTCTGCTCAAAGAGATATCACAGAATTAAGCATGTTTTTTTACAAAATGCCAACAAAAAGCAAGGCATAAAACAACCAGGCCTAACCAGGCTAAATGAAAGAAGTCTAGATATTAGTGTCACTAAGAAGTGAAATATTTGATAAAATGTGACCTTGACTGCAGCAGTTTGCAAGGTCAACCTCCTCTCTTCCATTTTATCTTTTCCTCCCTTGATTTTCAAACCATTTTTAGTCAGTCAGTGAATACACTACAAATATAACATCCCCAAAGAGGGAAGAGCATTGCTAATGGTTGGTTGCCACAATACACCTCCACACATTCATGGCTCCAATATCTTCTAGTACGCCTCTCAACATGTCTTCATTTTTTGACACATTTCCTAAAAAGAGCCTCTCTTCCTCTCCTCTCTTTGTTTTGCCTGCTTTATTTTTATTATTCATCCTTTCAGGTTGTGTGTCCGCACCATCCGTTTAATATATCAGGAACACCTGGATGGAATTTTTACATTCACTCGGACTCAAGAATGAACTGAGCTGAGAAATTGCTGGTCAAAGGTCAAAGGTCACTGTGACCTCACAAAACACGTTTTTAGCCATAACACTAATTGTGACACAATTTCACACAAATGTCTGATAGGATAAAGTGATAAAGTAAAGGTCGACTTCCCTGTGACATCATAATGTTGAGCAAAAACACTTTTCTAGCCATTATTCAACGCCATAACTCGGGACCAGAAGGGGAGATTGTGACTATATTAACTAATCATGGGTGTCCACCTTGAAACTGCGGTGACTGTTCTCTACGCTGCCGGGTTTATGATGCGTGTGAATCATCCACGTTTTAGCTGTGGCTTCTTTATTTGAAGCGCTGTCGACTGTCATGGCTGCAACTTTGTGTTCTGTGAATATCACAAATCAAAAACTTAATACTCTTAATATCTTTTTATTAAATTCCTTGATAGTCTTCACTACATATATTATTTGAGTCTGGACAGACATGGATGTGAACTGCTGTTTTTTTATCCATCCAGCTGTGCTTTGAAGCCTAACTTCCCTGTTTTAGTTCTTTTTCTAGTGAAGGAAGCAGAATAACCGGAGGGGACACTGAAGCTATTTGAAACTTTAGAACAACATCACTTTCCAAATGTTTTTATCTCAGTCCATTTTTTTACCTTTTACTTTCTTTCCTTACATCCTTCCTTCCCATCCTTATCATCCAATTTCTTTTGGTGTGGCCTCCTTTTCACTCTCTCTCTCTCTCTCTGCTCTCCTTTCCTCTCCCCACTCTGCCCCTTTCTTCACCCAGCATCGAATGTTAATTTATCACAATAGTGTGTCATGGCATTCCCAAAGAGCTTCATTTCTTCTTAATATGGAAAGCAGGTATAGAGTGTTATTTGGAGCCTCTAAGAATTTCATTTAGACAGCTGATCATATTACTGTACTGTGCTTGTTATGCTGAGATACTGTACTGAAGCATGCGTGCATTCCCTGCTTATTAAAATCTCACTGTGTGCAGTGAGTGATGTTGCTTCTTCCCCTGATGGCTGATGATTCCTCTGATGTGCTGCTGTCTCAAACCACGCACCAAGTCAGGAGGCAGAACTCGACCGCGACCTGACCTAATTCTGGTGCTTCCCCACATGACAAGAGTAGCAATCTTTTTTCATTAGAGTCTAGGGTTGGGAAACAACGTGTAAATTTTTCATTTGGGTGTAGAGATTTAAAAAAAGAAAGTTTAGACACCCTTGTCTTAACCCAAGCATGTCTTCATTGGACCAGAAAATAGGTTGTGGGATGAAATAAAACACTGTAAAAGTGTCAGCGTCTATTTTATGTTGCTTTGCTGTACCACACAGTATAAGGTTAAAGTGTAGGAAGTAGTACACAGTTCTGCTTTACTCAGTCAAATGAGAGACATCAGTAAGCATTGCCAGCCTGTCTAGGTGGACCTAAATTCAGTTCACAATTACACTTTGATGCTTTTGATGCAGACCGGGACTCAAAGCTGGGGCACTGTCTTCAATTCTTAATATTCTTTTCTTCCTGACTACTCTGGTCTACAGCACACGTAAACCTCTGTGCACATCACCCTGGCACTGACATAAGATTTCAATTTGCTGCACGCATTTGGGAAAAGCACCAAATGTTTAGAAATGTCAGTGCTAAAGGTTTATAAAATCATGGTTTTCACTAGAGATACAAGGCTGTGGAATGTGCAAAGATGAAGTTATTCATTTATTATATTTCATTTCTTTGGAAGAAAACCAATTACAAAATCTTGTTTCCCAAAACCCTTGTATAATCCTCTTCTGTTTCTGCTTGTGTCCCCCCCAGCCCCCGACACCTGTAATTTGGGCAGTCTTCCGAACGGTGGCTGTGAGTACCTTTGTCTGAAGGCCCCTCAGATCACAGACCACTCCCCCAAGTACACCTGTGCCTGTCCTGATGGCATGGAGCTGGGACCAGACATGAGGCGCTGTGCTGTAGGTAAGTCGGCCACAACGTGAACCAGTAAATCACACAGGCAGGGAGCAAAAGCCTAATTAAAAGAATTTGTTGAGAAATGCCACATGGTGTCTACATCACCGAAATGCCAGTGACATGATGGAGTGCCAGGCCATAAGGATATTAAGCTGGACTGGAGTTTCACTCTCTGGATTCGGCTAAAATGAGTCCACCACAAAATTAAGTATTTATACCGATCTATAAATAAATGTTCCGCTTTAAACTATTCAGTACATTGAGGATTTCTAATCTTATACATAGATGACTATGGGAAATATTTCTCATGCCAATATATTCAGAAGGAAAGACTAAGATGTTATTTTTTTAGCCTGTTATGTCAAATATGATGTAGGTTCTTCTCTCACCACAGCTGTACCACATCTGTTCAAAACAGCATATTCACTATTAGATGTTTATCTGAAATCCAGTGTTCATCAACATCTCTTCATCTTATTCTATTGATTATATTCCCTCAGAGAATTCAATACCTGTGCTTACAGTCACACTATCTCGGGAAGTGGGTCAGGGATTCTCCCAGTTTTACCTGTGTTCCCGACCTTATTTCAACCCCTCAGCTTGTCGCCAGCCTCAGTGCAGTCACCACATTTGTAAAGTTGTTATCCTTAATACACCCTCTCTCTGTTTTTCTCCTTGTGTTTGAACAGGTGAGTAAAAAAAGAAGCTGACACAGAGAAAAAAGAGAAACAAAAAGGGAGAGAGATGATGTATGTAGGCCACCGTTCAGAGAATCCCTCTGAGAAAAGACAGAACATGGTCACTGAGCATACACACAGAGAGAGAAAGAGAGAGAGAGAGACATCCCAATGCAGAACAGATATATCTGCTGAGCACTTACTTTGTTTTGATAAAATAGCCTCTTACACTGTGTTCGTCTGGCTCTCAGCTTAATGTCTCTGCCTATTCTGAGGCAACCATAAAACCTTGACGAAATGTGTTTGGAAGCCCCCAATCAAATCAAATCACTTTTTTATACTGTCATTTAGTCGTATGGTGATGCAAACAGGAAGGTCTGTCAATGGTGACCTGGTGCATATTATGTACTATTGATGCACATAAAAGTGATCAGAGGCAAAGTTGGAGAAGAGAGAAAGATGGATTTGGTGAAAGTGATAGCTGATCTGCTGCAGTGTACTGCTGAGGCAGAGCAGAGCCTCAGTAGCCATGTTTAGCAATAAAGTCAAACTTAATAGACGGAGATAATTTGCTATTATCTTTTATTGACTTTCAATGCAAATGCATGATGGTTAAATCTTGTTATTGTTGTAAAAATGTTTTATATTCAAATTAATGATTCCATTCATGACAAAATCATTGACTGAAGCTGAAGAGCTTGATATACAGTATGTAATGCATAACACAGGAACACATTTAGTTGTTTTGAATATCTTGTCGATGACCTGGAAGTGGAAACGTGATTGTGTCGTGTTTGTCAGCTGTGAGCAAAATCCCAGGTGCTAATGATTTTCGTTCCGTTTCTCTTGTGCAGTTCGACCCAGGGCAACCACAACACCTCCTCCAACCACCACCACCTCCACAACAACTCCCACCACCACAACCACAACGAGCACTAAACCAACCAGCACAACTGTTACCACCAGCACAACTCCCCCTACCACCACCACCACCACCACCACAAGTACCACCAGCACCTCCGCTGCTACCACACTCAGGCCCACAACCAGACGGCTGACGACGACAACAACGGCCTCTCCTCAGACCCCCAGAAGCACCTCTACAGAGCACCCCCGGACCCCCGCCGCCACGAGTACAGAGACGACCAGGTTCAGCAGCACAACCAAGACATCAACATCCACACATACACCTTTGTTAGGCCCAGCTGCCCCCAACAGCATTCAGAGAGAGAGCAACGGCAACCTCTCCCACAGAGGTAAGGATCACGGCGAGCTGGGTCGGTGCATAGGAATGTGAGTCTGTGTGAAGTGAGTGTATGCAGACAGTGTGTGTGTTCCTCTGTGTGTGTAATACTCCACTGCCATCACTACAGCTACCACCTGCCATTAAAGCAGCGGGGAGCTGAAAACCACTACTTACATCAGTTCCCCTCCTTTCTCTGGCTTTTCCCTCTTGCACACACACACACACACACACACACACACACACACACACACACACACACACACACATACCAACATATACCAACACACACTCACTAGTGTTATCTCTCGGTCTGCTTGCTGTTGGTCCCTCATGAGCAGCGTGTAACAGAGCTGTCAGAGCTAACAAACGACAGTCCCCTCCATTCTCGCCTTCCACCTCTCATCACTCATCCTCACTTTCTGACAGCCTGTCTTTGTCTCTCTCTCCCTCCCTCTCGCTCTCTCTTTCACGCTCGCTCTCCAAAACTGGCAGCAGTATTCGGTCCTCGCACCAATCAAGCTTTACTGGCGCGACTGAAAAATACCACTTCACAGTTTGTTTCCCCAGACAAACAGTGACAGCAGAGTATAACAGCAGTAACAATGGTTTTACAAAGTCAGGCTAAGACTTAAATTGTATTTGGAAGCAGAGAAGAATCCTTGATAGCACCACAAAGCAAAATTGATAAACCACTGTGCCGCACACCGCATGCTTTGTTGTGATTTTGTTTTAGAAATCAGTGTTTTCAGCTTTCACTGTTTTTTCCATCCTTCGCTACACGGAGACATTAACATGAGATGGATGTAACTGCCAAACTGCTAAAGCGGACTACAAGAATCCTCTAAATGAGTTGCTTTTTCAGCACTTTACTCTTAAGGATATTTAGAGTTTGTTTACTAAAAGAAAGAAATGAAATGTGGATATGTGCATTAGTTTTTGCATGTTCCTAGAGCTCCAGTGCCTTTTTCAGACCTAAGCAGGAGAGACTGTAAAACAATAGCAAAAACTGACTGATTTATGGAGTTACTTATACACACTAGAAGAATTTTCTGATATTAGAATGACACAGTCTGCTGCTCAAAGAGAATAAGAGATGGAATAGAAGATGGTAGTGGTTGGCTAGTGAGAAAGCTTGTGAGTTTCTGTACTGTGTTTGAACTTTACAATATTGCATTTACATCAGAGATATTTCTCATTATACTGAGACACCAGAAGAGCAAGGCTTGAGGATGAACAAGGTATACAGAGGGAGAGGAGCAGGGAAAGATGATGAAAGTTTAAAATGGGTGTGAGAGTTGTAGGAAAAGGATGAATAAGACACAAGAGGAGGACAGGGAAATGAATGTGGAAAAAGAGGGAGAAGTAAAACGAAGGATTGTTAAATAAAAAAAGGAACAGTGAGAGACAATAAAGAGATCATCGAGGAACAAAAATGAACAAGGAGAAAAAAAAGAGCATGACAGTCCAGCTTTTGAATGGGGAGGATGGGACTTGAAAAATGACACACTGTTGGAGGGAAAAACAGCATTTACAAGGATGAGAAAAGACGGGATGGAAAAGAGGCAGGAGAGAAAGTGATTTTCTGGGAATTAAAGAGAACGGCTGCTCCAGCTAGTCTCATCACTTTGGGGGCCGGGGTTTCTCGGAGTTACAAAGAAAGCAAGAACATGTTTCCTCTAGTCTCTGAAGTTGTCAGCCTCCTCACCACACCACAAGTGCTCCAGATGAGAGGTGGAGCAGACACGGTTGAGAAAATGGAGCATGAACAAGACGCGTCTCTAAGCCCGTGGGCCATGTGTTATCATTTTTAACTCAGTGCACACTGTCAAGTTTGCCGGCATCAGCTGTTACACATGTGCGCTGCTGCAGCTGGCAGAGTGCAGCGAGGAAGAACCAGGAGTCTCACAAAAAAAAGAGATAAACAACAGCTGGTACACAAAGTGTATATGCATCTGTTCTCTTACAAATTTGAACCTTCACTTTTGATGCTAGTAATTATTCATCAATACTAAAGCAACATTGGACAAGACAGGAAAATGTTGTTCTTCCTAAGGCACTTCCAATGTATAGTAGGTGATGGGGGATGAAATCCACAGTTCTCATTCTGTGCAAAAATGCATTCCAAGGTTTATCTGAATGAGGCTTCAGAAGTTTGAGTTGAGCAAATCAAGTCAGTATCTTTCAAAGTTAGTTTTTTCTTGCACCAAAGTCCATGACTGTATCTCTCTCCCTCCACCACAGCCCAGCACGGAAATACTGTGTGTGGAAACTAAAGAAGTGCTAAAAAGACAGTGTAACTTTAGCAGATACCCACTTGATTTGACTAAGTCAGACTCCTGAAGCCTCATATTAGCTTCGGATAAACTTAGGAATTTTTGCACAAATTTTTTGCACAGACGAGGGACGTGTATTTTCTTCCATGTCCCATATATTGTCCTGTGAGTATTGTATTAAGACAGAAATCAAAAAACTAGGAACGTGCCCTTTAATTGTTTGGCCATTCATTCTGCTTTTAAGCTGATCCATTTGATCCCTTTGATGGCTGTTGATTAAGATATGCAGCAGGCAAGCAGTGTATGCATTTAATATTAGAATTCCTACATGGTGACTTTAATATTATTTTCTATATTGTAGGTAACTTACACATTATGATAGTTATATTTAAATATAGGGATATAAATAGGGACATTTCATAGAGGCATACAACAGTGAATTCTTTTTGAACTTTAAATCCCTCCAGATATAATAGCCTTAATGAAATTGAAACTTTTTATTTTTCTGTCTTCCTCTTTCGCTCTCTCCTTCTCTCTCTGCCTTCACTTTCCAGGGCTGCTTTTTTCATAATTGCTGCTTTAATAAGATTCTATTAATCCACCTTTTAGAGTCTTAGGACCCATTGGATGTCACTCATGCTTTAAAGTAAGCTCAATTCACTTCTGCTGACTCAGGGCTAAGACGCGTCACTACTGAAGACATAAAGAGGTACAGCAGGTGACACTGAAGTTGTATCATCTGCTGTACCTCCTTATGTCTTTGTCTATCTATGTCTCCGGATGTGTGTGCATGTGTGTTTGTGTGTGTGTGCTATATATGAGATAAAATGTACGTCTTAATTGTATGTCCCATCAGCCACGTCCCATCTGTGCCTTTTTGCCATGCATACAACTACACAGAGTCTCTTTCTAGAATGAGCCAATCAGTATGCAGGGCCAGCGCTGTGATCTCTTCTGTTAATCTTCCTCACTAGACTTCATTATAGCCATCTGATCACACTTTGGCTAATGGCTAGCCTGCTGCTAATAGGAGTGTTGGGAGCAGGATTAATGTCAAAGCTCCACACCGACCTGTTGGGGTGAGAGTTGAAGGGGAGTGAGGATACGGAGCATGTCTGGAATAAATTGTATACTGTGTTGCACTGTGACAGAGAATGAAAACATGCTGCAGAAAAAGAAGAGGTTATATGTTATAGTTCACTCTCAAGGTCACCTGGAGACTCACAGCAGGTTTTAAGCCTCAAAAGTCTATGATGTATTGCTTCCTGAATCCAGATATGTTTTTGAATAGTAATAGAGAAAAATCTGATGCATTGCTCGCTGAAATTTCATTTGTCTTCTCTTATATGAAAAAGCATCTCATTGCATTTATATGGCATGGTATAATTCATCCGCATTTCATTTACACATGCTGTTGTCTGCAGTCCAAAGTGAAATCAGATGGATTCCCTGCCTGTATATTATGTAAATATGTTTTTTTTCAGCATGATGCTTTTTCAGCTGCAGCAAAGTTCTTTTTCTCTCTAGCAAGGCCTCGGGGGAGGGTGTTTTGGAATAGAACTTTTTGCTTAGTTTTATTTTTTCCTTTCTTGTTCTGTTCATCTCAGCTGCGAGTGATCACTACCTCATAGGTAACAACATCACAGTAGCTGTTCTGGGGATAGTCATTCCTATCGGTGAGTACTCTTGACTTTGTTGTCTTTGCTTTCTGCCTGCCTGCTTCTCCCTCCTTGCTTCTCCGTCTCTGCTTGTCGCTCAAGTCCTGCATGTTGTGTATGGACATGGTATTTTGTGTAAGCGTGTGTTTTTGTACCTGAATGTGTGTCTGTGTGCGACTGGGCCATTTTTACTTCCACTTGACTGATTAAAATGAGTATATTTTAGATTTAATAACAACAATTTACATCATTTGAACATGTCAGACCCTCAACAGTCATAGCAGTGATGGTTTACAAAACAATAGTTTAGTAATTGACAAAATGTACTTAGCTGTGGTGTTATCCAACAACAGCCTCCTGGCCAAGGGCTTGAAAAAACCATGGCCAGGCCTTTGTAATGTGCATGTTATGTCATTATTAATGGGATTTGAGCAAATGGAAAATCCAATTCATGTTTTCCCAACACATTTGACCAGCTGTTATGGCATTAAGCTTGTGTTCCCACTCTGATCACACAGTATGTTCAGACTGCAATCAATCCAGTGCTCTGGCCCATTTCTGTGCCCCAGTGGGCTGAGAATGGGTTACACAATCGCTGGAATCAGTTTTAGAACAGGAGGAAATATCAAAGGACTGAACGGGGAATTAATGAGGTGAAATTGTGGTTTTGGCCCTGGAGCAGTGGAAATTTCTGACCTGAGAAATAACATTATCATCAGTTCAGGGTGAAAAAATAAAAGCTACTATTACACCACCACACCATACCATACTAATAAAGGTCAGGTGCATGAGGAGATTGCAAGTTCTTACAATCAAAGCAGCTTAGTAAAGTTAATCTATTACATTAGCTCTGATTAAAATGATAATTTTATGGGACTATTTAATACTTTCATGCCTAACCTAACAGAGAAATCAGCTGAATGTGCAAATGACCTTATAGTAGCAGCATATGTCGTTAATTGAGATCTCTTTCATCCCTAATATTGAATACTTTGATAAGTTATGGGAGCGCTAAAACAGCGTCAAGCAATTTTTTTTGTCTCTCCTCATTCTCAGCAATTGAGATATCAGCTCATTAAAAAAAACCCCAGAGACTGTTAACTCTTTGCACTCCATCCCCCATTCTCTCCTTCTGTCATTCACCACAGCCATAAATCCCCCTATTATGCATTTTTTTTTTTTTTTGGCAGCTTTGAAACATTAATTATTGCAGAAGTCCACCAGGGCCGGATTTCTGCACCCCACTTCTCCGTTCAGATCCACTAATGTACCACGCCCACCCACAGCTCCACGAGGGGAAACAGCCCAACAATGATTATCAGTCTTTAGCCCAAGTCAGGCTGTTATGCCGCTCTCTAATTGGAGTGAAAGTGAAATTTTCTAAATGATACAAAAGCTGATGGTTTTTTTTTTTTTTTTTTTTTCAAACCAGTGAGGTTTTTGAGAAGAACAAAGGAGGAACTGGGGTTTCCGGCCCAGTCACACAGGGATCTCAAGTGCCTATCCAACAAAAGAGTAATTAGATGGGGCTTACACAGCAGATGCAGACACATGTATGGATGTGGGCATACGCACTTACACACACTTGTTTTATCCCTCCTCATTGACATACCTTTGGTTTGGCTCCACACACACATACGCTCATACATACGCTATACACACACAGGTCCTACAGGGCAGCTTGGCAGTCATGCAGATATGGTAATGAGAGGAGAGAGACAGAGCTTATCTCAAATCCTCCAATCCCCCACCCTCTCTCCTTCCATGCTCTTTCTCCCCTGTCCATTTTCCTCTCATAACCCCATCCAAAAACACCCGAGTCAGGCCATCTGCAGATAGTGTTTAATTTTTTAACCCAAGCAAGTGCAGAATTATAAATCATTGCCCAAATGTAGCACAAGGCTAATATGCTGATGACAGTTAAGCAACCTTGCTGGGCTTTGATTCAAAAAACCTAAAAAGCCTAATCACTCGCTTCAGTACTCGAATGCTACAAGATTTAATCGAAAAACCTGTGTGGTTCAGTCTTTGTACGCGTGTGCATGTATTTGTGTTTGAGTGTGTGTGTGTGTGTGTGTGTTTATGTCTTGGATGTAGGGTTGTGTGTAGTATGTGCGTGACAGGGCATGCAGGCATTCATTGTTGCAAGTTGTGCATGTGTTTGCGTGTTTTTGGTCATTCTGTGAGATTGAAACTGAGTGGGAATGTATTAGAATATATATTTATACAGTATGAAGGCTCATTGTTTCGTTTTTTTTTACCGATTTTTACTGAAAAATATACAAATTTCTTTTAAATATCTGATGCATATACAGGGTTTCCCACAGGGACTAGTGTAGCCAAGGTGGTTATCCTGACTCCTCCTGTGATCATTCATCTACAGTTTAGTTTGTAGATGAATGCCTCAACAATAGCTACAGCTACTAAATATTTTTGCTCTGTGAAATAGCACCTCTGCTCCTCTTTTGAAGGCCAATGTTTTATTTCAGACTCAACTTATTCTGTTTTTTTTTGTTAGTGGAGGTGCCCGTTGACTTCGGGCGAAGTGGCCGATCTCCAATCTAAAACTCTGCGGGAAACTGATTTTCAGGAGAATTTAATGTCCCCAAACATCAGGAACTTGTTGCTTTCCCCTGCAAAAACATGCTGATGAATAAACAAGGTCCTCTTGTGGCGTGCACCATTCAGTAAACTTTTTGTGTAGTAAGAAGTGAAGAGCAAACAGGGCTTTCAAAGTAATTAAAAACAAAAATTACTATTGAAACAGGGCATGCACTTAAAATGTCATCTTGACAGTCCAATTTTGACCCAAAATTTTGGAATTTTCCTCCTTTAAAAAAACAAAAATAACATGTTACATTTTTTGGACTACTTTAGCCAAAAAAAAAATAGTGATGGACTAGAACCAAACTTTTTGCAACCAAAACAAGACTCCTTAGTTCATTCTGTGTAACCTCCGCCTCTTTACTAAATATTGTGTTTAGAGTGTGAGAGTCCACCTAGATTGTATTCCCTTACAAATATTTACATTTGATTATATTTATTTTTATATTTTATATTTGATTTTGAAAACTAAAGTCAGAAAATAATGAGCCTTCAGAGCATGAAGGAAAGTGTGTGAGTTGTGCTTGAGTGTGTGTTAGAGTGCTTAAAGCGCCGCTCTGTGTCCCCTGGGCTGTGTTAACGCTCCCGCCGTGTGTTGTTGTTGTGTGTGTGTTAAACACATGCAGTCCCTATCCTTGCCACAGTGGTCATCGGATTACTCTGCACCGGCGGATACCTGGTTTGGCGCAACTGGCGACGCAAGAACACCAAGAGCATGAATTTCGACAACCCCGTTTACCGCAAAACCACAGAGGACGACGACGACGAAATCCACATCGGCCGACACAGCGAGTCCATCGGTCACGTCTACCCAGCAGTGAGTGGCAGCCACAGTCAGCCATTCATAGCGCTCCCTCTAGGGGGCGGCATCACAGACAGCAACTCTCACTGGTACTCAGGGGCGCCGATGCTCTCCAGCGGCAAATGAGAGAAGCTGCAGAGGAAAGGAAGGAATATTTTGAGATGTGGGAGGATGCGCTGGGGTTTGGAAAAGCCCTGTTGTTGTACATGTAGGCCTGGTGCAAAGAAAGAACAGGCTTGCACACGCACACGTCCACATGCTCACATATCATTTTTGTAGTAATCACTGAAGCCACCAATCATACACACACATAAGCCCTTCACCAGTACACCATGTCCACTCCATTCACCTCCATAGACCATAATCATACAGCACATACGTATATCAGTGCCAGATCCCCGTCGCCATCCCATTTATTTGTACATTGTGTTAGTTCTTCTGGTTGTTTGTCCTGTTACTGTATGTTTTTTAATAGGTCCCCTGTTCCCTGACTAAACCCCCCACACAGGTACATATCATCTGATGCAAAAGTTCACATTTTTTCTACATGATCACTAGACAACAGAAAATATTTACCACAAGGTAGCATACTTGTCAGAGAGGAATTTTGTAGATTATAACAAAAGGCCTTCCATGCATTAGAGGCTTAAATAATTACTGTTGTCTTGATGCCGTGCAGTTTGTACAACAGAGAGATGCATGCAGTGGCATCTGTGTGTTAGCAGAATAAGTTATTTTAGTGTTGAGATGATGCCTTTGAGGAGAAAGAGGACTAGCTTTATAGTCACCTCAGAAAGGCTGACTGACAGGACAGCAGAGTGCAGGATTAGACCGCTCAGCAAATAAATTGGATTTTTAGAGTGCATGGTAACATCATGATATTGCCAGTGCCACTGTGGGAATTTTATTTTTTCATTACTGTGTAAGTAAGACATAAAAGATAAAAAAGGGAGCATAAATCAGAACCAAGGACAGTTCAAGATAGAATTTTTCTCATATTCTATCTTGTGTGCAGTTGCAGAAACCATGAGTCTCCACATGATGAGTTGCAGATGACCCTGTTGATTTCCCATTGATGTAGATGCATTTTTGAGAATCCTTTATATGGCATAAAGCTGCGTTTTCTACGAACTCAGGAGACAGTGCCAGCTATGATTTGCACCCAAATCCACTTAAATGTGGAGGGCATGTGTCATCAGGACACTTGTGACATTTATTGAATATGCTTGTTGTTTTAGATATCAGAGAGCAAGCAGAGAAGGGCAGCCAAAAAGGATTATTGGGGGGGGGGCTAGCGCTTTGATCGGTTGGCATGGTAACGCAGATTTCTTTGTGCTGCTCTGGAGAGAAAGGAGGCAAAGAATTCTGGGTATCACTGGCATGATGACAGGTTGAGACGCACGCACACACACACGCACACACAAAACAGGTGCACGACTGAGTCATATTAAGATTCAAGGTCAAAGTAACAACCACATTCAGTGAAAGGCTGGAGAGAGAGGACTATGGTCTCTCTCTCTCATCTCCACATTTATTATTTACTTCTGTACAAATCTCTTTATTGTCTCTTCATCTTTTTACTTGTTTTCTTCCTCTCCTCTCCTCTCCTCTCCTTCCATGGCGATATGGCAGCTCAGACAGCCAGAGAAATCAGGTTGGCATTATGTGGGCCAGACATTCAGCTGTAGGCATGCATCCTGCATTCCTCGCATAGAAACAGCCAGAGAAGGAGGGAATGAACAAGGGAGGGGGGATCGCAAAGAGGTAAAAGAAGGTCAGGAAAGGAGGGAGAAGTGCGGACTGCAAGGAGGAGTAAAAGAATGGAAATATGAATATATGAACCCGCCATTTCTTTTCCTGACTTCCACCTAGACTTGAATCTGTCTCTTTTTTCTCCTCTGTTCTTCATGCCAGTCTGTTTTCTATCTTACTTCTCTCTCTCTCTATCTCTCTCTCTCTCTCTTTTACCAGCCTACTGTGGTAACAGTCTTTTTATCTGCTGTTTGCAGCGCGTGGCACTCAGTCTGGAGGATGATGGCTATCCCTGAGGGGTGGGATGCAGCCTGCCCTCCCCCAATCCCCATCCTGGCCCCTCCTCTCACCACAGCCTCTACACCACTACAATGAGGCCAGTACAACGCAGAGGAGAAACAGAAAGAGAAGAGAGAGTCCTCATTTTTGCCTCCCCCTTTTTAAGGAGCAGGGATGACATGTACATCTCATAAACCCCCCCTCCTTCCTCTCCTACTCTGTCCACTGGAGTAACATTACTACCACTACTAGCAACTATACTACTTCCTTTAGTGCTAGTTATTAGTAGCCTCTGCTCCACTCCTCTCTTCTCTCTGCCTCTTGTTAGTTGTAGTGGTGTATAAAATGCTGCTTGATGATTTTGTTCAGACTAACCTCATCCCGTTGTCTCAGTGCACATTGTAAATAGAAGGCTGCCTGGCCAGTGTACATGGGAAAAAAAAGCCAGCATGCATTATTTTTAATTCCTCATATTTTGACTCTTTATTTATTTGGATGTTTGCTGTTGTAAATATGTAATCAGCATCGATTGGTACCGCACAGTACTAAAAGCAGATTTGTTCAAGTTTGGAGGATAAACAGTAGCAGGCAAGGACATTATTTTTCTTCATAGTTCCCTTTTACATCTTGTGTTGACAACACAGATTTTTTTTTTTTTAAATGGGAGGGATGTCATCCTTTTTCACACCCAACCCTTCAGATTCGCCCCTTGACATATATTATATAGAGAAAGACAGCTAAATATAGCCAAGGGGAAAGGAGACATAAAAAAATGATGGGGTGGTCTCCATGTTTGGAGGTGATTTTGGGGTGAAAGAGATTTTTTTTTTTTTTGAGGGGAATGGGAGGATTTGTGCCACCAGAGGGTAGTGCCTCAAGGCAAAAAGCAGCAGGGCAGAAAAGGCAAAGGATTATGGGTAATCCTCTCTCCTGGTATCAGTGTTATGCGTACAGTCTATAATGAACTTGGGTTTGTTTGCTCGTTTGCGGTATGTGTTAGGATTCATGCTATTGTTTACTGTATGTTTGTGTCTGGTTGTAGAGGAGAAGCTTCAGTTCCAGACAACACGGACCTCTGTGTGACTGTATTGATGTGAAAATGGTGCTTTGAGTCTTATTACTACTATTTGTGTATAAATTCATAAGGCTGGACAGACCTGCCAATGATTTTATGCGCTTTCTGATGTTTAGTGGCTGGAGCTGTATACATTTAAAAGTACAGCTGCACATTCTATATTGGAAGTGTGAAGGCATCAGAGAGGTTCTGCACAGCTACACCAGTCCTGTTTTTTTTGACTGCTTCTGTTTGAAATGAAGATTCAGTTTCAACCTCTTGCAAGGTCTTTGAACAGAAGAAGAGAACATAAAATACACAATGGATTCCTCATATACAGTATATCCTGACACAAGGCAAAAGCAAGGAAAGGGAAAGGAGAATGACAAGAGAAAGGTGAACACGTGTATATTGTGGTTGAGTGCTCTGTGTCTCCTGGGCTGTGTTAACACTCCCACCGTTGAGTAATAGACAACTGCCAACTGTGAGTTTTTGCTGTATTTATGGCTCTAATGAGATTTTTACACTGCATTATTCTCACGGGTGTTATCTCCTGAAATATCACTTGTTTCAAAATTTAAATATGCAGTTGTTTTTCTACAACTGCCAAACACAGACACAGACAGTCAGTGTTTGAACTTGAGCACACTCTAAGTATCAGTGGCAGTGTCTCAGTGGCTGCACACCACTGGTTTTGGTGATTCAGAGCCTGATAACTGCTGCATCTTCCCTCCCCTTTTTAACAGTGTAGCTGTGTGTTTTCTGGAAGAGATGGTGTTAGAAGAAAAAAAAAAAGCTCACATTGAGAAGAAATGACTTTCTGCTGTCACTGACTGTTCAGTGGGGTTGTGAGCGGTCCTGTTTTGTATGAACAGATGACTAATACGCTGAGGCTGACTGAGCCCAGCACTGATTTGATTTGAAAGCTGGGTAGAGAGGAAATGTGTAAACCAGCGTAAAGAGCTGATCTTCCACTGGCTTGCCACAGACATGGTTCCAGCCCATTGAATCAGATGGAATTTATGCCCAGTGAATATCGCAATAATTGCTCATAATGTGTTGTAACAGCGAATTACTAGAAGCCGTCATGACAGGATAGCATGATAGCTGCCGCGCGTTGTCATGGGAAATTAACAAATTTCCTATTCTGAATGTCATTTAGTCTCAACAAAGGGCATTTTAACTATGTTAAGCACACGTTTAATGCATTTAATACACTGTAGAGCTGTTTTACATTGACTTAACTACACATACCACACGTCTTCCATTCTTAGAATAACAAATCAGAACAATGTCACATTTCGGCAGAGCTGAGCTAAGACGTGCTTTTGTTTGTCACATCCTCTGTCTTTTATTTATAAACCTGACATATGACTGAATAACAAGCAAAAAAATAAGTATATAATGCAAACATTAAAGTCTTCCAGTATAGACTCAGCATGTGTATTCATCCAACTATACAGACAGTGTGTGCATACAAACAAAGGAAAATTTGATTAGTGGTAGTTATTATTCACAGCTCTCACTGTTTGTTGGAAAGGTTTTCTCTGTGTAGATGCTTGGGTAACCACTAGGGAGGAAGAGACTGTAAAAACAAACAAAGACAAAGGTAGGCAGGAAATAACTGCCAGGATTTAGACTACACCATATGCGAACAGGTTTGGAAGACAAATGTTGGGTCATTTATTTTGCTGGATTTCTGCTGATGATGTGCCACAGTATTCTGACACCCAGAAGGATGGCACTGTTGTCCTCTCCATTTGTGATGCACAGCAGGCGATCTGTATGGACTGTATGTGACGAGTGGCACGCCAGACAGGTAAATTGTAGTCCTCCACAGCACTGCACTCCCCTACGTCTGTCTAATGAGGGAGGATTGAGCACAAGGGGAAGGCCATCTCCTTTCATCTTAACCTTGTAGAGATGAAGGCAAAATAAAATGCATTACGTGGTGGGCCGACTGTGACTCAGCTCAGCATGATCCTGGGCTGGATTGGTGGGCTCCTGCTGTGTTTGGTTTTTAGACAGGATTTAGAAGTGACATGTATGAAACAGTTTAAAATGGACACAGTTCCATTTTGGTATAAACTCCGTTCATTTCATTAATGTTATCAGGATGTGTCATGGCTGTTGTGAATGCTCACAATTTCATATCTTTTTCATACAAACCTAACCTGGAGGAAAGATGAAGATAATAATGTAAGAAGCCAGGAAAGATTGCCCAAGTCAGATATACATTTATTTGTGAATTTGAAATGGGATAAATCACAAACCCCAGGGCTGGATTGAACCTGAAGCTGAGTCAGCTCTGCACTCCACACTTTCCTGCATGTCCATGTTTGCTTCAGGTCTAATTGAGTTCCATACTGAGGGTTTGCAGTTACGAGAATAAATTGCTTATTTATTGAGGTGAGTGAGCGTGGCATTGTAGAGAAGTTATTATTGCTACAGTGTGAAGACAGATTGGCTGCTCCACTTCGTGGCCACCTTGAGAGCAGCCGACTCCACTCAAGGACGTGGGAAAAAGTCAGGAAAGGGGCTTTCGTCGTTCATAATAGAGTAGGCAGTAATTGTGGTGGCAGAAGAGGACACGCTTTGACCCTTTGCTTTCTGGGCACCTGTCTGATTGTTGTCAGTATTTACAGGGAGCATTTAGGCATTAATCAATGCTCTAATAACAGCATCATCATATTTTTACTGTGAGTCAACCCCATAAACAACAGGCTGCAGTTATAAGGATCAGTTTGAGTGTTCCGCCTCACGCTGACAAAGTCTAATGTGAATTTATGTACATATGTTGAGTTATATATATACCAGTAATATGTTAACTGCATAAGTTTCTCACATCAGGCCAGTTTTTTTGTTCATTATTTGCTATTTATACGTCTTTCAATGTTAGAGAACCATGTGCAACATTAACCACAATATCTTAATGCTTAAAGTTACTTAGCACTCAACCAGAGATGTAAGTGTAGTAAATTTAACTAGTTGCAATAAACTGTCTTGAATTGCATTTCAAGAGCGCATATGACACTAAATATCTGTTGTATCCTAAGTGAAGATGTATGCATCACTAAGGTTAAATCAGGGTTTAAACTTTTTACACCCAGTAACTGCCAGGTGTAGCCAACTGGAAAAGCTAACGTTGGCTTGATAATATATTATCCATTTGAGTTGAGCTAATGAGATGTGTTTGACACATCTAACCGCCACTATATTTCCTACTCATTCTAAATTGTAGGAATACTGCTAACACTGAAACACTCCTCCATGTGAGTGTATATAAATAAAACAGTCCTCTCTAAATTGACAAAAAAAAAAAAAACTGGCAGTTAAGTTTAACATATCTCTTGACCCCATAAAATAGTTATTTTTTGGATGTCATGTCACAATGTGTGTGATGCTACTGTAACTTCCTGTTTACATATCTGATTGCTTTTACGAGGACATTGCTGTTTCCTGGCAATCAATTTGCACATTAGCAAAAATTTTTACCAGCTAAGACATAGATCAAGATTCAATGGTGACACCAGAAACCACTAGTTTCACACTGGCTAGTAGTAAGGAGTAACACACACACACACACACACACACACACACACACACACACAAACTTAGTCCTGGTTCTCAATTTAAACATTCACTTTACCTAGGATGCATGAATTACACCTGCTCAAGTTCTGTTGTTTCTTTCTTCTGTTCATCTAAATATTTAACTCTTAATTTAAACTAATACATGAACAAAGCATTCGGATATTCACTACTAATACATAATGGGCAGCTCACTATCACAATAGGTCAAACTAAATGATTTCAAACCATCCGTGACAAGGTTGAGTCTGGTTTATGTTATAGAAATTATGTTTCATGTACTTATCTAATCAGAGCAACTACTAACAGTCCTGATAACCCATTATCTAATGTAATTATATGCCATAATTATAGTGTTCCTGATTTGTGCTC